TTCTCACAAAGGTTCGGACGTAACAACCTGAACAACTATGCACTTGAAGACGAAGACGGCAAACTGACATCCGATATCATCGACGACCAGTTCCAGCGCTACCAGCGCGGTCCGAGCAGGAGCTCCTTCCCAAGATACGGCAAGAGACAAGACAAAAGACAGCATTACATGCGTTTCGGGCGCACTTCCGGTGGAGACTTCATGGGCTATGACAAGTCTCCAGAGACTGTAGGGGCCGAACAGTCTCGATGAATTTGCCTTGATTTATTGATTCATGAATTTAAACTGTCTTCACGTTAGTTTTTTTGATAAATATACTTTTAGATTAGAAGTATCGGCAAAAAAAAAGTATTAACACCTATTAAGAAATCGTTACATCTTATTAAAATACATCTTTAAAAAAAACAATATGGGATGAAGGGGCTATGAATCATATATTATGTCTCTTCCTCTACTTATTGATATAAAGAATTAAACAACATACATTTAAAAAAAAAAAGCTTTCATTGTGTTTGTGGTGTTTGTTCTTACTTTAAGTATTTCTTTTAAAAGGAAAAAAAATAGTACATTTAGTACAGGAAAAGAAAGTACACATGAACCATGTGAAGCAGAGTATATATTGAAATGAATACTTGAAACACTTGATTCTTTTTCAAAAAGATAGTTGCTTTTTTAAAAAAAAACTATTTAAATGCATGAATCAAAGTAACAATTTTTTAATTGGGGAAAAATTTGAAAACAAATAACTTATGTATAAATTATAAAGAATATTTTGCTAGGGTTGTTTAATAAATTTTATAACATATCAAATTAAAATTAATATGTCAAGTTACAATAATTTAGAATTGTGTGAGTTATTTGGGTGGCCAGCAATTCTTTTTAAGATTGGATTAAGTTGGTACCCTTGATTTAATCAAATATTTTTACCCAAACCAATTATTTTTATTCTTTGATAAGCGAAACACTAATGGGAGTCGCTTAGTCAATTATTTTGTCACGTGATGTGAGTAAAAACGAGTGAGATTTCCGGTATACTGTATACAACACACTAGTGCTTGACAACAGTAGCCCGATACACACTACAACTACACTACATTTCGTCCAATGAAAATTAACAATAAAATAAACAAAGGGGAATGACTCCTGCATCAATATTGAATAAAAACGCAAATGACGTCATGAGCACGCACGGCGCTCAACAACATCCTGCCGATAATAGTATTGATAGTTCCCATCGAATATCGCTCACAAATTTTTCTTGAAATAACTTTCTTCCTTTAATCATAACTGACGTATATTTATTGTCACATTTATGTATTTAATTTAAAAAACGCTTGCATTCCAGAATAATACGAAAGGTAAAATTTTTAATTAACATAACATTGGGGAAGCACTGATGAAGTATCTTTTGTTGTGTGTAGCAGCCTAGTGATGGCTCACTCACATCATGTGACCAAACAAGGAAGTGACTAAGCGACTCCCATTCAACTTTTAATTGATGTTGTTTTTTAATACATTAATCTTTTATGCTCTTCATAGCAACTAATCAAAAGTTGTATGATTATAATCTTTATATCAAAATATTAGCTAAAATCTGAAATATTGGTGATGAATTCGATACTTGACGAGACCTACCAAATAAAATGTATATATGTGCACCAAATTGTATTCATATTTCCATAAAAGTAAATAATTCATTTATTATAAAAAAAATAAATGTAAGAAAGAATTTTAAAAAAATGGAATTCATTTATTCTCATCAACGGATTCTATCACTGAAATAAAATATTTAAAAAAAATTCTACTGGGTTTTCCCTTGCTCTCTTATTATCGCGTATATATTGTTAGAGAAAGCATATGTATATTGTTAGAGAAAGCATAGATATATTGTTAGAGTTAGCATACATATATTGTTAGAGGCAGCATATATACATTGTTAGAGGCAGCATGCATATATTGTTAGAGGTACCATACATATATTGTTAGAGGTAGCATACATATATTGTTGGAGGTAGCATGCATATAATGTTAGAGGTAGCATACATATATTGTTAGAGGTATCATAAATATATTTGTTAGGGGTAGCTTACATATATTGCTAGAGGTAGCATGAATGTATTGTTAGGAGTAGCATAAATATAATATTGAAGGTAGCATACATATATTTTTAGAGCTAGCAAAAATATATTGTTTGGGGTAGCATAAATATAATTTTGGAGGTAGAATAAATACTTTGTTATAGGTAGCATACTTATACTTTTAAAGGTAGCATAAAAATATTGTTAGATGCAGTATACATATTTTGTTTAAAAGTAGCATACATATTCATTTAGAGTAGCATACATATACTGCCAGAGGTAGCGTTCATGTACTGTTGTACATATATTGCTAGAGGTAACGTACGTCTAATGTTAGAGGTAACAAACATATTCTGTTAGAGATAACAAACATATTCTGTTAGAGGTAACAAACATATTCTGTTAGAGGTAGCGTACATTCATTGTTAGAGGTAGCATTAGGATTATGAAACAGAGTCAACCCAACAGCTTTATATGGTGACCTCTCAACAGGACAAGAGGAGAGCAAAGACATCAAGCAGACTTTAAAACAAATTTACAATTAAATATCAAAGGGTATCAAAGCAAATTGATTTTAATATCCTTTCTATTAACTTCACTTTTCTTTGTGTGCTTCTGGTGGATGAAATCTTCGGACGGCTAACTGAACCACTTCCCGCCAATCTCATTGAGCTGAAACTTGCCGATGATAATACATTCTTTCAACTTTTCAGTCCCACATCCCAACCCAAAATAATCAGTTTTTCCTGTTTTTCAAGGGGAAGATGAAGAAAATATGATGCCACGGATTTCATGAAATAAAATTCCCGACTACTGTCCAAAATGACATTCTTAAAATAAAAGTAATATCGGAAATGCGTTGGTGCGTAATATTTTTTTAAATTTTATGTTGAAAAGTTGGTGACAGAAATCTACGGTGTAAAAGCGTCTGAGCGTTAGAATATTAATCTAGTTCAGGGGCGTGAAAAAAAAATGTGCAGCTGTAGCAACCCCTCTCCTGAAACTTTGCGACAGAATATGCATGAAAGTTACGCACTTTATAAGAATCGCAATTAGCGCCCCCCCCCCTCCTCCCCTCCCCGGCCGCACCGCCACCCAAGGCTCGCATCTTTTTTTTAAATTTGTAGCAGAGACCCAATCGGTTCGAAATATAATTAATTTGATACGCTTTAAACACATTAAATGTAGTCTAAACACATGTGTTGACTGTAGGAGAAGTAGACACATGTCAACTAATGTATAAACTATTTGTAAATAAATACTTATTTATCCACAAGCAAAGAAATTCGGTTGTGGTGAAGAACATGAAAGGCTTCCTGAACACTTGCTTTGTGCACTTCGTTTCTTTCTGTTTAATGTAACAATACAAGGTTTAAGTCCATAATTTAACATAGAGGGGAATGTGAATAACCGTGAAGGGTTGAAACGACGTACTATGAAAAGAAATGTGCAGGGCCAAAAAGAAACCAAAGAGGGTTAAAACGGAACAATAGAAGCTGCAACAACAGTGGCGACACCTATGGCGCCATAAAAGTAGGATGTCACAAGAGCATATAATGGAGTTTACCTTAAAATCATTGGCGTAGCGGGATTTTGTGACGCCTGGAGCGAGGGGTCAATATTTTCCCCAGAAAAAAACATTATCAAGATAATCGCATGTAGTGGTGTCACCTGGGGCCCGATGGCTGCAGATTGCAGCGAAAAATACCCTCATAGGGGATGACACAAGAAAATTGAAAAGAGTAAATTTACAGAGTTCTCTAGAAAATGTTTCAGAACCGATCATAGTTAATTACAAAATTAGGCTGGCACCACATCAGGCTTACGTTAGAACAGGCTGACACTAAAACAGGCTGACACCAGAACAGGCTGACACATGAAAAGTCTAACGGCTTATACCAGAACAGGCTGACACCAGAACAGGCTGATACCAGAACAGGCTGACACCGGAAAAGGCTGACACCAGAAAAAAAGGCTGTCACCACATCAGGATGCCACCACAATAGGGTGCCACCACAATAGGGTGCCACAACACCAGGATGCCACCTAATGAGGGTGCCACCACAATAGAGTGCCACAACATCAAGATGCCACCTAATGAGGGTGCCACCACAATATTAGTGCCACACCATCAGGATGCCACCTAATGAGGGTGCCACCACAAAAGAGTGCCACAACATCAGGATGCGACCTAAGGAGGGTGCCACCACAATAGAGTGCCACAACATCAGGATGCCACCTAATCAGGGTGCCACCACAATAGAGTGCCACAACATCACAATGCCACCTAATGAGGGTGCCACCACAATAGGGTGCCACAACATCAGGATGCCACCTAATGAGGGTGCCACCACAATAGAGTGCCACAACATCAGGATGCCAATATCCAGCGCAATATAACGTAGATCTACTTATATTATGTCAAAATCCGGTTCTCCAAAAAGTTGTTAAGCCTAATATTATTATTTTTTATTTTAAATATAAAAAAAAAAAATTATAACCGTATTTATATTATTTTAACTTTCAAAACTGTTTAATCACAATTAATTTACGAACAGTTTTTACTGTTAATATAAACTTTTTGAAGTTGTATTTTATTATATTTTTGTTGTTTAATTTTTTTAAATAACTAATAAAATGACTAAATAAATGCGAGATCATCATCTAATATTAAACTAAATTCTAAATTATTTAAATTAGTGCATTTAATTATACCGAAAAATTATGAGGTAATAAACGACTCGGAGATTGGGTCAAATAGTCTTTTGAATTTTATGAACTTTTTCTTTAAATTATAAGTTTCTTTGAAAAGAAAATGCTATTTAAATGACGTCATCAATAAATGTTGGCAATATCGGCATTTCGGTCGAAAAAATATAAGGGGCATAACTCCCACGAAAAGGTTTGCATACTTGATCAACAGCTTCATTGACAACCATTTTCAATGTGTTGATTTGTGAATGTTTTCGCCATGACTTAAATATTTACCAAAGAAGTATGCATATAATAGCTATTATCTTAACCATTCAGTTGAAATAAATCATATTACGAAATTGCTGAAAATCAATTTTGGGTCACTACACTGACTAGACAAAGATTCAACTACACTTACAACTGACAAGATTGAAAACAAATTCCAGTCTCACTAGTTCGTGAGCAAAAATACCCAAATGTTCATGTATTTGGATTAATGAAAGCATCTTATCTTATCAACAATGAATAATTTTGAAGGGCTTAGAGTTACTTAATTATTTAAAGTTACTGCTAGTAATAGTCTTGGGACTACTAGTACTAGAGCTAATTTATTTGTACTTAAAAGTTATAAGACTTATCTTATTGAAGTCCAAGTATAATTTCAAAATTTGGATTCGTAAAATAAATTGTCTTAATTTTAATTTTATTTGATCCAGAAAATTTTAACTCTTTTTTAACCTATCTCAGACTATCTACCTAAAACTATTTACTAACTTGACTCTACTTTTTTTCTTTTTTTTTAAATGGCCGGCTTATTTGTTGCCATGACACTTGTCAGTAGACAAAGATGATGGTAATGAAAAAAAATTAGTGTAAAAACACGTCTATCATAATGAGGAGTGAAATGGAGAGAATGAAGAATGTGTTGTTTTGAACCATATTTTTGAAGGAAAATGGTGAGAAAGGGTTATTTTGAAAGAAAAACATATTAATAAGGACATTATTTAAAAAAAAACTGGCTTTCCATTACAAAATGATAACATTAAAGAACATTTTACAATAAATTGGGAAAAAAGTTTTAACAAATTTTTTTTTCAGGAAAATGAAAGTAAAACATTTGCAAAAGTTATGCAAATTGAAAATGCATTTTTATTTACAAAAACCAACAACTTTAAATTCAAAATATACAACTCTATCTAACCTAAATGCTAAATTAGTATCCCTAACTCAAGCATAAATTGATCCTAAATTTAGTCCCCTAAAACTTGAGTATAAATAAACCCCTAAATACATCCCCCCCCCCCTCTTTCCATAACTGGAGTTTGCCGTAAATCTTGGAACCCAAAATCTATGACCTAATGTGAACTCTAAAACCACTTCATTGTGTGCTACAGATACACACTGTGCTGAGAAAATCATAAATTGTAATTAAAAGATAATACAATTTTTAAAATATGCAAGATAATGAAAACCCAACTTACCATTTCATTGAATACACTTTTTAACACTTTGTTACAAGTTAATCATTTGAATTAAGTCAAAATCCCAAATCCATTTATCAAATGATCAAACTCGGGCCTCATTTTCAAATATTGCTATTAATTTAAAATTGCATTTTAATGGTGCAATAATATAAAAAAAAGATAATAGTAAACTCTAGTAGCAATCCATGACTAAACAAGGGGTGTTCACTCATGTACAGATACTCAGGATGAGTTGTAAATAGTAAAAAGACCACTTCAACATTCAAGAATCAAGGGTACCTATTTATTTTCAAAGCTGTTCCTTAACTGCTGAGAATTATAAAGAGTATTCGAAAACTGATTTTTACTTGCACATGTTCTCCATGCAATCAGGAAAATGGGAAATAGAAAGGATTTTCTTAAATTATATCATGGTAGAGAAAATTGATAAAATGAGCATTTTAGTAAGGACGTTTTCTGGCCAGTTGGGAATAATTATATTTTAAAATCCCCAAAAATTGACAAGTATGTGCTTCAACTATCATAGTTGATTGTTTTTCTATGGCTCCATGGTCTTTTATCAATTGCATTTTACTGCAATGTCATTAGTTTCCACTTCAGAGGGAGAGGCATGGGAGATAATGTATGGTGAGTACTAAAGGGAAAGCCAAAACAAAACCATAGAAAGGTTTCTTATAGGCCATTTAGTTTACAAATATAATTTCAGTCATTAATTTGTTGTATTTTGGTGAAATTTAAATTCCATCTCTACATTGGTCTTTATCTGGGCTGGAAGGCTTTTATTCATAAAATTTTATAGTGCCGAGGCAACATTATCCTATGTCTATGGTACTTATGGATGTCTTTGCTGCATGTTGACAGAGTAATGACCAGAGTTTCACAGGACTGTTGGGTCTTTATACCAAAGACTCAATTTACAGATACAAGTTGAGTTTTAAAATGGAGAATACTCATGATAATGTTAATTAAAAACTTCCTCTGCATTTCAATTTGCTATTTTTACAGCAGTTTATTTTAAATGACTGCTGTGCAATGATGATTGAAATTAATTCATTTTCTTAATTTATTTTCTAGCTAACCAAAAAAACAGTCAAGCTTTGGGTTTTAAAAGATTAGGTATTTACTGGTATCCTGAAAAGAAAATGCTTGTTCCTATTTTCACATTGAAACTTAACCACAAAGTTATACCTCGCACCGTGGCTATTGGCTGGTATGATGGGAAACATCCAGCACTCACATGTGCAACTTCGGCAGGCAAAGTACATTGAACAGATTATAATATAAATTTTTTTTTTTTTACAGTCCTAGCCGAATGAAAAATAAATGTTAATGCATCAAGAGTGATTAAATTTATATGAGACATTGTTCATTTAATTAAGATGATGTCAACATTAAATTATGTGTATTATTCTCTTTTATGTCTTAATTAGAAAGATATTTTTAAGTAAACTTATTTTAAAAAGATTTTTTTTAAAATAATTTAATTTGAATTATATCTTCAATACTTTCTTTCTTTATCCATAAGGTGCTGGTGCATAGTCCACACACAAAGCAACAAGATCTTGGATCTGGTGCAGGCTCAGACTTAAGTCTGCTTAATATAAACCAACAGATAACTTCACTTGCTGTTGGTCGACTTGATCCAGACGTGGAAGGTGACCTGCTTGTAGTTGGAACCCCCACAAATGTTCAAGCTTATGACATCAACAACAACAGGGATATTTTTTATAAAGATGTAAATAACTTATTTATTTTGGTTGTATAGCCCTGTTAGTTCACAAATATTCATATTTTTGAAATTCTTCAAAGTTTTTTTGCTCTTGTTGTAACATAACTAATTTTATAGAGACAATCAATTTAAAAAATATTTTCCTATGAGATATTTTTTACGCTCATATTTAATAATCCATAAAAGGATTATTGTTATTATTGCTAGATGATTGATAAACACAAAGAGCAAGTGTGTCAATAAAATCATATTTAAATCTTTTTGACTGAAGACACACAAAATAAGATCCAGTCATGGCAATATTGGATATTGTTGTGATAGAGATTTACCCAGAGAATTCCACAAGAACATAAATGGAATTAAAACTAACTTTAAGTAGCAATCATATTAAAAATAGTTGTGACAAATTAAAAATGTGTTTAAGATTGAATTAAACAATGATGTGATCTCCTTATGTTTTTAAATTCATGTTTAGTGCCCAGATGGTGCTAACGCCATCAGTGTTGGAATGCTGGGAAACGTTTCGTCTCCCCTTGCAATAGTCGGTGGGAATTGCTCCATCCAAGGGTATAACAAACAAGGAGATGACAACTTCTGGACGGTCAGTTTGATGACAAATCATTGTCTTAATACAATCACATTCATTATATGCAGACCTCACTATTGTTTTTGTTGTATATTATATATATAAGAAATCGTATAATATACAAGTCCCAGTTTAATTATTGCTGTATCTTTAAAAGTTTTAAAGTACACTTGTTCATGCAATTTCATTTAAACATTAATCCAATACTTGACACCTCTTCTCGTAGCATATTATGTTCTGTGAAGAATGTCTTTTTTTCAAATATGTGAGGTGAAAAAGGGGGGGGGGGGTGAAAAGTTTTATAAGAGTCATGTTCTGTTAGATTGTTTAACTATTTATGCTGCCAGGTTACGGGAGATAACGTCCAATCTCTGTGCTTGATGGATTTTGATGGTGATGGAAAAAATGAGGTAAGTGATTTCTTGGTTTTGTTGATTCCCCTCCATGCCCAAGTCTTCAACGAATGAACAGTGATAATTAGAGTTTTTATGGCTTAACCCTACTTATAATAATCTTAACCTTTCACCTCTTCAATGAATCACTAAAGCTAGCCATGGGCTTGGCTTGCAGAAAGTGAAACCATACGTTCAAAACTTACTTTAACTCCCATTGAAATATCTTGATCAGAAAAATTACTTTTTGTTCCACTAACTTACTTCTAGCTCATAGTTGGGTCAGAGGATTTTGACATCCGAGTGTTTAGAGAGGATGAAATTATTGCAGAGATGACAGAAACAGAGGTAAATTATATTAGTTACAATTTTTTTTAAAAACACTGAGAATCCCTTTACATTAAAAACATAAATGAAATGGACGCAATGAGAGCTAAAAGCATTTTACTAATGAACTTTTAGTATAAAAGTCACAATGGTTGAGAAAAATTTTTTGTAATGCTGTTGTTTTTTTAAAAATAATAAAAAAGATGTCTTTAAAATGGTTGATTGAAAAATTATATTAAACTGCTATTAGATTAAGTTCAAAGAATATTTCCATTAATTAAAAGGCTACAGGCCTACCTTATAATAAATACCAGGATAATATGAATATCATGATACCTAATTTAAACCATTTAGGATTATGGTAAATTGTTTTGGACTGGATTTTGTTAGGTCATTACCAGTCTCTGTCACTTGATGGACACCCGTTTCGGCTATGCTCTGTCTAATGGAACAGTCGGTGTCTATGAAGCAGTCGCTCGGTGTTGGAGAATAAAAGTAAGTGATCATTTAATGATGGTGTGGTTGTTGTTTTCATAAGATGATTTTCATTTATTTGGCTGGCACGTTGTTTAAAATAGTCAGTCTCTGATGTTTCATGAGTAATCAACACATTTTTTTACTCTCAATCCAACAGTCTAAAAACAAACCAGTAGCCATCCACGGATTTGATCTGAATGGAGACGGAGTCAAGGAACTTATCACTGGTTGGAGTAATGGCAAGGTACATTGAGTCAAATGAAAATAAGATATACAGTGTAATAGAAACATTTTATTTTAGTCATAGAAATGATTGTCCTAAAAAAATATATTTTTTTTAAAGATTGATGCAAGAAATGACAGAACAGGCGAGGTTATTTTTAAAGAAAACTTTAACCATTGTATAGCTGGAGTGGTACAGGTAAGGTGGTGCTATAGCTATGTGTTTTATCTCCAACTTTGTATTTATGAACAATATTTGTCAATACTCTTCTAGAGATAACATTCAATATAGGTCAAAATGATATTTGACATATCATTTGTTAAAAAAAAAAAAAAGAGAAATATTGCTTTTTTTTTAGATAAAAGTTTACTTAGGGAAAAAAAAATTGTATCTTAGCATTATGTGTTTTTTCTCCAACTTTGTATTTATGAACAATATTTGTTAATACTCTTCTAGAGATAACATTCAATATAGGTCAAAATGATATTTGACATATCATTTGTTAAAAAAAAAAAAAAAGAGAAATATTGCTTTTTTTTTAGATAAAAGTTTACTTAGGGAAAAAAAAATTGTATCTTAGCATTTGCTTTATTATTTAAAATGTTAGCATCCATATTCATTCAATCAAATGAAAAAAGAGGCAACTTTTAAAAACAACCTTTAACATGTAATGTATTCAAAAGTAAATTTTATATGCAAATAAATCCAATGTTGTAATTTGACTTAAAGACTGTAACTGTGATCTATCATGTTTTAATTTGTCTAGTGAATGTAAGTTTAAGTAATTTGTCTAATGAATGTAACAGTTATCTGTCATGTAGTAATTTGTGTAGTGAATGTAACAGTTATCTATCATGTTGTAATTTGTCTAATGAATGTAACAGTTATATGTTATGTTGTAATTTGTCTAATGAATGTAACAATGATCTATCAAGTTGTAATTTATCTAATGAAAAGAACAGTGATCTGTCATATTGTAATTTGTCCAGGCTGACTACCGCATGGACTCAAATGCTAAAGTGGACCAGCTGATGTGTGTCTCAACAGAAGGAGAAGGTGCTAAACAGTTTCTGTATTCCTTGCTTAGACATTCTTAATTTATAGATAAGATATATAGATAAGATATATAGATAAGATATATAGATAAGATATAGACTTTTTAAAGGAGTTTTGATGGCTCAGTATTTTGTACTCTTGTTTCCCAAAGTTAGTTACCTGTTCATACAATAACAAATAATTATTTGCAAATAAATGCATTTAAATTATATTCACAAATCTCAAATTGATTAAATTTGGATTAAATTTGGTAGAGATCTAATTAGTGATTAGGTGGTCAAGGTTGATTTTGACAGACAGACTATGTCTAGATAAAACAAATACTGCTGAAGGTGTACATTTGTTGAAAGCAAACCTTTAGTGGGGAGAATTCTCAATGTGACATGATCAGTTAGTTAAATGTAAGCAATGTATACATTATGATAATGCCAAAAAGCATTCACTTGTTGTTTTATAATAGAATAGTTTAAGGTGGTACAGCAGCAAAATCACCCTCACTTGTTATAATTTTAAATGTCAGAAGATATCATGTCTACTTTTGATCTCATCAATATTTTCTTAATTATTTATACTACATTATTTTCTGTATGATAAATCTGTCAGTGAGAGGATACAGTCCTGCAACCGGGGGCGTAGGTTCAAATCTGATGGATTCCAATGTTGAACAAGATACCATTAGAGAACTAAGTCAACGAAAGCAGGTGAGGGAATATATAAGTAAACGGGGGTACTCACATAGTCTTGTTAAAAGCTTTCACTTACAAGCTTTTGTTCCAAGCTTTCACTTACAAAGCAAAAAAACAGCTTCTTTTCTCAATAGCTTAATGGTGAATTGTAATTTTGATTGATAATAATCTAATATAAGCTGCTTCAATAGATTTCTAAACTGATATTTATCAATACAAACAACAAGGTAAACATCTAATTTTAAAGTTGCCGGCCCAACAATTTGGAACGCCCTTCCAGTAGCTCTCAGAAACAGCCAGACACTGGAGTCCTTTAAAACCAATTTAAAAACACATCTGTTTCGCAAACACTTTCTGGGGTGATGCTATCTACCATCTTTTTCAGTTAATGTATATTGGCCTGTGTTGCTTATAGTTGAAATGGGATGAAAGACTTTGACTTGGTATGCTCGAATGTAGTTTGATATTGTTGAGTCTGTTTTTAAAATGTGGTAAATTTTAGATTGTTTTTATTTCTCTTTATAATGTGGTTGACTTTGTACCGCGCTTCGAGCTTTTGGGGATGAAGCTTGTTCTTCAAATAAACTTTATTATTATTTTTATTATTATTATTTTGAAAACGTAACGGTGAGTGGCTAAGACATTGACTTTGCAACAGTTGTGCTTAAAGGAGTGATTAGGACCAGTAACAGTCATTGGTCAGCAAGTTTTGGTGCTCAATTCAAGAATGACAAAAAATAACAGTGGTCAAATAATTTAGCACTGACCCCTTTGTGCAGTATGTTTAATACCAGTTGGATGTTTGTGCCCACAGAATCTGATGCTGGAGCTGAAAAACTATGCAGAGAATTCCAGGATAGCTTTGTCAGGAGAGGCAGCAGGGTTGGCGGCAGCCCTGGCAGGGGATGGTAATAGGGCAGGTGCTACGGCAGGAAAGTTTCCAGGCATCAGAGGATTACAGGTGAGCTGGCAGGGGATTGTAATAGGGCAGGTGCTACAGCAGGAAAGTTTCCAGGCATCAGAGGATTACAGGTGAGCTGGCAGGGGATGGTAATAGGGCAGGTGCTACGGCAGGAAAGTTTCCAGGCATCAGAAGATTACAGGTGAGTCAGGAATATCATTTGCTGAATGGGGCGCCTCCGTTGTTGACACCTATATGATATCCCATTCTGTAAAAATGTTTTTATAAACAAAATTATTTTTTTAATGAAATGAAATGATACATTCAGACAAATAACAGTTATTAAACCCATATTTTAAAAAAATTCTAAAATAGAAGATTATAAGGATTCAAACATTACGTTCTTAAATGTTTTATCATCTTCTCATAGTATTGATTTTTAAAGATTTGAAAATAAAATATTTTGTAAAATTGATTAAACCTTTCAAGTGTCAGTAAAAGTACTGCCATGCTCACTTTGAATTTGACACAAGTTATGTACATAAGAAAGAGATGACAGTATGCAATCTAAACAATTGAACCAGGTACTCTTGGAGAATCCATTTAAATTGAACTATTGTAGTGACGAGAGTTACATTCCATCAACTCCCAAGCTTTATATTTGTTGATGTCCCAAAAGAAAATAATAGTCTCTAATTGACCACAAACGTTCAGTACTAGAAAGGAAAATAAAGTACACTTCTTCTACATAGCTAAATGATAGATATATAATAAAATATGGTCTAGTTCCACCCAGAGAATTAACAAGTGGTCTAATGTTATGTACATAATCTTCGTGTGAAATAGCCAGAACTAACTGTTGTACTTTGTAAGCTCATGAGTGTTTCATTTGCTTCTATAACAAAATATGGCATCAAAATAAAACAAATGTCTCTGTTAAGCCAAAAATATTAGATGAAATATACATCTTTAAAAGTAGTTCAAGGGTCATGAAATCACCCTTAAGAGAATTTATTTTTGAGTACAGGAGTTTTATCTAAAAAAATATAGAATTACACAAAAATAATAATTGGTTTAAAATCATATTTCTAAAATCAATAATTGATTTGGCAACAAAAAAAAGCACCATATAAACCATATGTCATACTGACCTACTTTAATCATGTTATTGTTTATACCATTAACAATAACATGATTAAAGTAGGTCAGTATGACATTTATAATGTGAGGTCTAGTCCCAAATTGAATATCACCTTTGTTTAACAGCCCGGAGCCTCTGGTGGATTCGATACAACTGGAGGAGGTGGGGATGGTCATTCATTGGGTGGACAAGGAGGCACTATGGGGGGCTTCGGTGGCAATAGTAGCCACATTGCCCCCATAGGCCCTGGAGCTCAGATTGCTTTGGCTGGGCTCAGTAGTATGCCAGGTCATTCCCTGTATCCAGGTGGTCAGTCTCTGGCTGGACAGATGCAGAGTTTTAAGCTAGGAGTTGGTGGGATTGGAGAGACTGCCAGGAGTCCAATGGGTATGATACCAGTAAGTATGAGTCCAATGGGTATGATGGGGTTGTTAGTGCTAACAAAAGAATGAATGTTATTTACTGTGTTACAGGTAGTTCCTTCATTGCAAACCCGAACAATTATTTTGGCACGAGTAGCCTTGCTTTTCATGAAAACTTTCTCAGAATCTATGAACAAAATTACTGTAATGTATTTGTCTTTACTCTTAATGTAATGTGTCTTAATTTCTTGCATTTTAAGAGTGTATTAACATTTAAAGCTATAATCATCTTACTTAGTTATATTTGACCCTTGCCAGGCAAACACTCAGCTACAGACAACTTTAACTGTCAATCCAGGAGACCAGTCAAGACCGGTTAGTCATTTTAACTTACTTAGAATTTGCGTTTTCTTACTGCATAGTAAATTGTTTTCCAACATTCTCTATTCTCTGGACCCTTTTAAATTGTTTGATGAAAAAATTTTGAACATTGAAATATTTGAACCAGATATAAGAAGCAGAGAAATTTTAATTGTTAAAATTTATTTCTCATATGAGAAATTCACAAAATTCATTCATTTTAAAAATTCAAACATTTTTTTCCCCCACATTTCCATCAACCTCTTCTAGCCTCATGTGGAACTCAACATTAGCACAACCAATGGTAAGTTTAAGTTAGTTTCAGCCTCAATTACCTTTAGCCTCAATAGTTTTATTTCATCAAGCTGAACATTTATTTCATTCTTTTATTATAAAAAGTTATTTGAATATAATATCCCATGAAGCTTTCTTTCTCTTCTTTTAAACTTACATGATAAAATGAGTGAGATGGCAGTCAGGTTAGGAGATGGAAATATGTGAAACAAAGTAGGGGAAAACCTGAAAAAGGAACTAAAATGGGACCCAGTTGTGTGTGTATGTTATTAGACATTAAAAAAACACATGGTGAACAGAGGCTACCCAGGACGCCTCCCTGAATTTCACAAAAGATACATCGATGGGGTCATTGGGGTCATTACTTTGGAGAGGGGTGAACGTGACTAATTCTTTTTGCCCCTCCGTTAAATTCACGACTCATGTCTCTCAGGTATCAGTTAACTTTTCAGACCTAAATTTCACCTTACACAAATCAGCCTACTCACGTTCCCCTATTTTAAGCCTACAAGACAGCCACAGCGATTTACTTTTCTTTTCTTCCCACCCTATATCCTGTAAGGACTCATTGCCATTTTCTTAGCTACTTTGTGTTCATCAACTTTGCTAGTCTGATGACTTTTGGGACAAAACACGTGGGGTAATTGACTTTCATCAGCTCTACAATGGGTTAATCACTTGTGCTGATGCCTTCAATGTCTCGTCTGACTGACAGTGGCTGACGGGACCAAATTTATTCTTACCGTCATCTTCTTTGCCTTTTCAACTTCCAGATGAGGAAAGGCCATTAAGAATTTCTCTCCAAGCCTTCCAGTCACTAGCTATCCTCTCTAACTCTTCACAACCTATTAATGTCCCATCTAAAGCTCCGACAATTTTTACAAATCATCCCCATAATCTCTTAGCCAAACAGGTTTTCTTCAAAAACTGTGCCATTCTCATTGTCGTACCTGACATCCACACTATTTTCACAACCTGTCTATTCATTAAGTCTAGACAAAACAAGATGTCCTTGTTTGCAGCCACCTCGTTACTAGGGTTTCTTTGAGCTATATCTCCGGGGGGGGGCAGTGAAAGCAAGGTGCCCCCTGGAGCAAAATTATGTCCAACAATAAATCAACTGGAACTGCTGGCACTGCCCCCCCCCCCCCCCCNTGGCACTGCCCCCCCCCCCCGAAAAATCTGAAGTGCCCCTCCGGGGGAAAATTTCTGAAAGAAACACTGCTCGTTACTACCCTCTCCCACTTTGGGACCAAGCCTTGTGGACATAGCAGCCATTGCAAGACTAACTTTTTGTCATCCAGACTGAACACATTCCATTCCATAAAGTAGTTTTCAGATATGGGATGATTGCCTTTGAAATGATATCTGCATCCTTGTTTCTACCAGCTGCCATATGATGCATCTTTTGGAAAGACGTACCGAGCACCTTCACAATATCGCGCAGGTTAAACAATGTCCTATCTCAAATTAATTCAATAGAAGTGACCACAAGGGCTCCAGTGGCTTGTCCAGTACCACCACTGTTTATTATACCAACACGTCTGACAGGGAGAACTAGAGAATAACCTGATCCACATATATGGGACCTTGACACCATGTGGCGTGCATTTCATGTTCTCCTTCACTTTTTAGTTCTTTTTATCCAACCCCCTCCTTTTTATAACCAATCCCTGTGTTATTCCTTTTTCTCTCTTCCGTCCCTCTTTGCCTATATTAAATCTCTAACTTACTAAGGGTCTACTACATTCCTCTTGCTGTCCTCTCGGACACAACATTTCAGCTGTTTTTATTTTTTATTTTTGTTATTCTTTGTTTCTACTGTTCGCTGAAGAAGGCTTTTTGCTGACACGTTCGTCGTTGTTTTTGTTTTTTTTTGGTGCTTCCTTTTTCAGGTTTTCCTCGTACCTTCTTTTTAAACATGTTACATGTAAAATTACAGATGTGCGGTAGTCTTTGATTAAGTTGTTTTTCTAGATTTTTTCAGAATGTTTGCCTCATGATTTGATTATTTATAGCATCAACATTTTTACAACAGGCACTTCGAAGTTTGGACAATTTAAAAGAGAGTTCTACACAATTTAATGCACATGTTAATTCTTACAGAGTTTAAAATAAGTACATTACTATACATCTATTTATAGAACATGCTCTGGCTGTCACCCTTAACTAAACTAATGTTCATATTTTGTTCCCTAGAGACAATTATCAGAACTGTTCTTATATTTGCCGAGGGTATCTTTGAAGGGGAATGTCATGTTGTGTGAGTATTATGTCATTTTGCGTGAGCATTATATGTCATGTTGTGTGAGTATTATATGTCATATTGTGTGAGTATTATATGTCATGTTGTGTGAGTATTATATGTCATGTTGTGTATTATATGTCATGTTGTGTATTATATGTCATGTTGCGTGAGTATTGTAAGACCATCAAATATGAAGTATTAATTCAGAAACAAAATTTTTTATAACAGTTATCCCCCATGCCTTACAGATACAGTAAAATGATACAAACTATCTGATCTGTTTTATTTCTATGCCCATGAAGCCATCCCAATGCTGCCTCAGTAAGCAACACTGTAAGAGTCCCAATTATTCCTCCCAAAGATGTACCTGTTGACCTCCATATTAAAGCTTTGATTGGCCAAAGGAACAGGTCAGTTTCAAGTAGCCGTGATGTAACATGTTTTAGTTGTTTGAAACACAAACAACTGTCTAAATAAAAACAGTATGTGAAAGCTTTATTAATATGTCAAAATACATATTTAAAATTTCATCCAATGATTTCTTTATGACATATATATATATATACACATTTAAACATGGGCCTTCTTCAGTACAACATACATAGGCCTACACATTTAAACACCTGCCTTCTTCAGTAAAAAATATACTGGTTTGATTACACAAATTGTCTGTCTCATTAATCTGCATTAAGAATTTCTCGCCATCCAACCCCCTTATGATTAGTTAACTTTATTTTTTTTCAATTTTTTAGTGTGACATAATTATTAAATTAAAATAACTTTCCTTTGTAATCTGTCAGAATTTACAAGTGTGTCCTCCGCTGTTCTATTTAATTATAGAAAAAACTCAAAGTCTATATTGTCATTAAGAAAATTATGTTTTATGATATATGATTATGAGAAAATACTTGTCTTAATTTTAAATTGATTAAGTTTAAAAATTATAAATTATCATAACCAGAATGTGAATGTACAAACTGAATATGAAATATGTTACCAAAACTTATTTCCATTTATTTGGAACTATAAAAGAATCTTATCTTTAAAAAAAAAAGGTTGCAATTAGCTAAGTTTTTTTTATATTAAAACATAAAATAAAGTAAAATGAATTAAGGTAAATAAATAAATTTAGTTAAAAATATCAACAGTAAGCTCTTTAAGCCCAAACAATTTGGAACTTATCACAAGCTTTTATCGACTGACTTTCACAGCAACCAGTTCCATGTGTTTGAGCTCACACGAGAGCTACCCAGATTTTCAATGTTTGTCCTGGCAAGCAATGATCACCCGGACCCTCGGAGCTCTGTTCATTTCACACTTAGTGAGCGGCCACAGAGAGTGAGTCTCACACTATAATCTATAAACAGCCAATTTACAAATATTCATTTCCTTCCAAGCATGTCAACTACTTTTTAAAAAAATTGTGGGTCATTAGTTTTAAAGTTTTATAATTCTGAAAAAAAAGTAATTTAAAAATATATTTTGGTAAATTTTATAAATACTTATTACCAAATTTAATGAGAAGTAGTAAAAAAAAAATTTTTTGTTCTTTTCATTTTGAAAAAATAAAGAAATTTTTTAATCATAAATATTGTTATTAGTTTACTAATAGACCACAGGAATATTACACAAAAGTTGAGTGTGTAAACTTTAAGAATTTGGGCTATATGAAACAAAGTATTATTAGTTTCCTACTAGACCACAGGACTATTACACAAAAGTTGAGTGTTTTAACATTAAAACTTTAGTGATTGTCTATTTCTTCTCTTGTCTTTCTATTGGTAGGTGCTGATGTGTCTATCTCTTGTCTTTCTATTGGTAGGTGCTGATGTGTCTATCTCTTGTCTTTCTATTGGTAGGTGCTGATGTGGCTGAATCAAAACTTTTTACTGACAGAAGACCTAGTTTGTGAAGGAGACCTTCATTTCACCTTCATGGCTCTGCGTGGGTCAGGTCTGTTACGTATACGTCTGTCACACATAGGGCAGGCTGCCATACACACTGACGACATGGACCTGGCTGGGGACATCATACAGTCACTGGCTCAGTTCCTAAACATTGAGGACCTGCAGACAACTGCTGACTTCCCAGTGGAGATTGAAAGTTTAAAGCAGATTTTATTTAAGGTTCCTGTTTAATTTAGATTTTAAAAATGTATAACATTATGAATTAACATGCTTAAAGCACAACACATGCTGGTTAAACGAGTAAGAAAGTGTTAAGCCAAGCCCAACCAATGTTTGTGAAACAATTAAGAAAGTGTTAAGCCCTGCAATGTAATATTTATATCATCTTATTTTATTTTTGAAATCACAGACATTAAACATTGTGTCCAGGCAATGGCCAGGCTCATTTCAAATTCTACTTTCTTAAAATTTAAAGCTACAAATATTATATGCAATATGTTGGTGTTTTTTTGCACAGAATAATGTGAGTACACATCAGAAACTTAGTGTTGGTGAGATTGGATTAACCCTCGAACCGTGGCATGCATCATTCTGTAGTGTGGTAGCTTTTCAGAGCTTTTGGAGTGCCTTTTGAAATTGCATTAAATGACATGGAAATATTGATACAAGACCCCAATAAGTTATATTTTTAGAAAGGTCAATGGATGCGGAGAAAGTTGACTCTGATGCCCACCCCGTAAAAAAATGTTGCCTAGTGTCCTTGACCTTGGAGTACTCAAGAAAAAAATCAACAAAAAGTCTTGCTTTCAAGTGCCCATAACATCATTAATTTTTATAGATACACTTAAAACACAATCTAAATAATGTAGCAAATTCATTTATCTTTCAGAAAATGTATAGTTTGCTAAGGTTTAGATTACAATTAGACCTCTGAAAGCAATTTTAGTAATTTTAGGTAATTTATGAAAGAAACTGGGACCACAGCTAAAACCAAGTACAAAATACAAAATCTCAGGCAAAATAGTTATTATTGACTAGTATACATTTAAAAAAGAACTGTGGAACTGATTTGGGTTGTTTAACTATAAAATTTATTAGTTATGATCTATAATCTGTAGCTTCTGTGACTAAAATTCAGTCAGTCCTTGCCCAACCTCCAGGCCTGGCTAAAAGTCTAACAGTAGCCTCAGTAGGCCTACTTCAGTATCACTAAGGCTAGTATAAGATTCTTGTGAAGTATAATCTCAATTGATATTATCATGGGGAATGTTAAAATCATCATCAGTATCAGTAAAATCCTCTCCTAAAAGCTTTAAAAAATATTTATATTAGTTCTTGCACTGAAGGCCCAGCCATAGCTCAACCATTTCAGCTTTAAAAAAACAGCGAAATAAAACTCCGAATAAAAAGTAGTTATTTTTAAGCTATCAAGAAATAACTTCACCTGGAAGATGATTTAATTATTAATAAAAGTAAGTGGCTATAATTCCGGTTAAACATTGGATTCGAATTTGGTATCGGACCGTGTTTTTAATCTGACGATTTTTTTGGCCGCCACAGAACGAGAATATCTGTAGATTTCATTGGCCGACCACAGTTTCAGGATTTAAAATCTATTCTGTAAAGCATTTGCTGATGTCCATTAAAATCAGTCCATAAATATTTTATGTTCTTTTTTTTTATATTCTCATACTTTTGCTTGAATGAAATTCTCTTTACCACCATGTTATTTCATGAAAAATGCAATACTGAAATTCTTGGACTTATTCCTACAGGTCGATGAATTCCATAAAGTCAGAAATAAGCTAACGGCAGAAATGGCTGACCACTCAAATTTGATACGCAGTATGGTGGTCAGAGCAGAAGATGCTCGAATAATGGGTGATATGTACGTGATTTTTTTAGAGTCTCCGTTGCTTAAAAATCTTTTAGCAAATAGATAAAATATTAGAAATTGTTGTTCTTTAATCATATTTTTAATCAATAGCGAAATTACTATCTTAGACTCTTCTTTTCAAAAGTTGTGTTTGTTAGCAATAAGTTACTTTTCACAGTTTCATTAAATTAAAACAATAGGTGATCTGCCCCTTGGACTAAGGAAATGAAAATATTTTAAAATGTTTTTCATTTGTTGTAATTAAGTGCCGTGGTAAGTTTGTCAGCAAGACTGTCAGCAGCTTTATTGGCAAGTCTTTTAGCAAGTGTGTCACCAGGTCTGTCAGCAGTTAGATTAGATGGGTATGTGAACCTGATAGTTTCTAACCTTAAGCGTTGTTTACACTCAGGAAAAGCATGAGGAAAGGTTACATGGAATTGAGTGACTTAAACCGCGACCTCATTTCTGGCTACAACATCCGCTGCAACAACCACCAGGAACTGGTAAAGTGTCTCAAACAAGTCAACCAGATCATACAAAAGGCTGGACGTGTCAGGGGTAAAAATATTTCACTTGGAAGCCTAAATTTATGCCACTCAGCCTCCATGGATTAGAAAACAAATTTGTATCAAACTTTTTTTTTTATTTCTCTTGGTTGTTTCTTTAACATGGGTTCAAGTTTAAATCTATCACATTTTTGATGTGTGCTTCACTATAGTGTTTATGTGTTGGAAGAGAAATTTGTAAATAAAAAGTCTAGGCATTAATGTTGATTGCTAATGAGAGCAAATTAAGAGATGCCAAAAAGTATGAACATGTTATGATGATATATTGATTATGTAGTTTTTAATATAAAAAATGTCAAGAATAATGATATACATGTATATGAAGATGGGGATATGAATTTATTAAAAATGAAATCAAGAATAATGATGTTCATGTATAAATTGTAAATGTTGAAATCATTTTGGTTGAAATGAAACTGAGTTAATAAGTGTTGTTCTGATACAGGTAATGCCTTCTTATTTCACTTTGGTCCCTTTTGAATTATCAATTATTTTAGTTTGGTCCCTTTTGAATTATCAATTATTTTAGTTTCATTTTCTTCTCCCCAGTTGGCAAGTTCAAGGGTCAAGTGATCTCATCATGCAGGGCAGCCATCAAGAGTAACAACACATCTTCTTTGTTTAAAATAATAAACACCGGAATGCCCTGAGCGACACACCCTTGTCAGTAGCTCAACAACATCACCAGGGTTACCAAGGCTGCTGCACTCATTCTGTCATCGTGTTGTGATTCCAGAAACTCTTTGTGCAGCCATGATGTCAGGTTCAACATGGCCAAGTGGTACTTGTCTTGTAAGTGTGCACCCATGATGTCAGGTTCAACATGGCCAAGTGATGTTGGCCAAGTCTTGTGAGTAAGAAGGAAAGAAATTCAAAAACTTGTTAGAAAATGTCTGCTTGTTTGTTTTGCCTCCCTCCATGGCCATTTCATATTTTCATTTTTCTGATGACTGCAAGTGTTTGCGAACGGTAGTAATGTGACAAATGATGGGTCGCCTTGTTGAACATGACTTTATTGTAATGTATCAGATGTGTTCTCCTGGTCTTATGGTCTTATAAATATGTCATATCTTGTTGTTGTGCCAAGTCTTAGCTTTACTTTCCATATTGTATTGGACTAGGTAAACTAGTTTTTGAACAAACAGAACTGTTTCTATTTTTATCACAAAAGAAATTCTCTTTTCTATTAATGTTTTTTTTGGACACTGTAACACTATATATATAGAGAGCAGATTTTTTAAATTTTATGTGACCTTCTGTGTTGAAAATTTGTTAATACATTATTCTACCTTCTTTTCAAGTCATGGATAGTCTCTGTATTATAGGCTTGATGAAATTGTTACATAGAATTACTCCAAGTAATAAAATAGCCACTTGGATTCAATTAATGGGCTTGTTACAACTTTATCATTTAAAAAAAAAGATAAATAAGACTTATTTCCATGGGACATAAATATCTCTTATATATAGTATGCTTGTGGTGTGACTGCTTCCATTTCTGGATAGCGGTGGAAATATTATTTCCGAAAACTATGCTAAATGATTTTTTGAAATAACGCAACTGCGTTTAGTGCGTTTTTTGTCTTTTTGGAAAATGAAATGACCTCAATTTAAATGTGGTGTAATAAATGTTCGGTTTAAAAATGGTTAGGACATGAGAATATTAAAATAGTTCATGGGCGTGAAATAAAAAATGTGCAGTGACGTATCATGGAGGGGGGGGGGGTGTAGCAAAGTTTGGGATTCTTAAATGTGCGTTAGTTGAGTTCATGTTTTGTCAAGTAACTTAAGTAGATGGGAAGTTCACACATTCCTGTCGCCAAGTTTGGCAAGCTATAACTAGTTGATAATATAATCCTAATTTTTCCATACATTAGTAATCAATCTTGTAACATTCAGATTTTTCTTAAGTTGACAATTTAGCCTTGTTCCTGGCATGGGTTTTGCTCTTTTGAAATATGTGTTGTGTTGTTTTTTTTTTATTATTAGCAAAATTCTAAACAACTAAAATTTTGCTAATTAATGTCTCTAGTGTTATAATGGTGTTATAATGGTTTTATAATGGTGTTATCATGGTGTTATAATGGTGTTTTAATGATGTATTATCGCAGAGTGATAGTGGAAGCAGAAACAAAACCGCACAATTTGTTCAACTCATCAAATACTTTACATTTTTAAATGAAAGATGTCCAAATAGGCACTTTTTACTCTGGCAATAATTTTAAATAAAATGTTACAACATCAAATTGTTGACAGCAGTTAGACTAAGTAGGCCAAGCATAATAGGGACATAAGTAGGTCAAGCATAAAAGAGGCATCATTGTGTTTAATCCCTTGGTTCAGATGTTGCAGTCCATTTCTTCATATGATTCAGATAAGACTTTCACATGGTTTATGCATTCGCTGAGTTGTGAAAATATTTCCGTCCATTTGAACTTGTTGGACTCCACAGAAAATGCTTCTTGTGTACAATGGTCCTCAATATATTAAATATAAAAGACCCAAGACGATTATTAGGCTCTTGTGCCATTATAAAGTAATGGAGATCCCTGCTGTGTTTAAAATCAAAATATAACAAAGATGAATTCATGAACCAAATACAAAGAATTTATTCATGTCATTTAAACTAATTTCTTTTAAAAACACACCATGGGATGATAATATGACAACAGTGACAAATAAATGAATAAATCATATCTTCTCTTGATAATTGATCGTTTGTAAGCAGTCTTCTTTTAATCAATGTTTACATACCTACTTACAATATTTTTAAGATGTTGGACCTAATAAACAATTATTTGAGAACTTGATTTGTTAGATTTTCTTACATTGCTATGATATCTTTGACTTCAGCTTCTTTTAGTACATTTGAAATTTTTTTTTATTATCAAATTAAAATCTGCCATGTCCCAGCCAATGTTCAAGTGTAAGACTGAGATGCAATAGTAAAATATCTACGTCATGTAAGACTGAGATGAAATAGTAAAATATCTACGTCATGTAAGACTGAGATGAAATATTATCATAACTGTGTCATGTAAGACTAAGATGAAATAGTATAATATATGTGTCACGTATTTATACAAATGAGAACTTGAAAGACGAAACATGAAAATGTCAACAGCTGAGATCAAATCCGTTGTATCCTGCCTCAAAGACCTGTTCTTGTTAGAACTACATTACCTTCTAACCTATCTACAGAATCACAGTAGGTCACCTGCGTTTTTTTCCAGTATTATTTGTTTGAAGGCCCATGATTCAAGCCTTTTGTATAATGTTTGTGAGTCAGTTGTCTAGTGAAAGACATTGCTTGCACTCCAACAGGAGGTTCACTGCATGCACTCCAACACCAGGTTCACTGCATGCACTCGAGCACGAGGTTCACTGTATGCACTCCAACACCGGGTTCACTGTATGCACTCCAACAGCAGGTTCACTGTATGCACTCCAAAACCAGGTTCACTACATGCACTCCAACACCAGATTCATTGCATGCACTCCAGCACCATGTTCACTCCCTCTGTCAGAATCTTTATATTCATTACTGATTTCAGTGTTTTGACCAGAACTCTTAATTATGTTTAAGACACCCTTCCGTTTGGATAATCATAAAAAAAACCTGATGAGCCAGTTCCGCAACTGTGAGCTATGTCCCAACGTATGGTGGGGGGGGGGGGGGGGTTAATGTGTTAAAACGAACTCAGCCGTTTAATAGCGCTGTTGGCCCTACTCTTTGTTAAAACGAACTCAGCCGTTTAATAGCACTGTTGGCCCTACTCTTTGTTAAAACGAACTCAGCCGTTTAATAGCACTGTTGGCCCTACTCTTAGTTGAAACGAACTCAGCCGTTTAATAGCACTGTTGGCCCTACTCTTTGTTAAAACGAACTCAGCCGTTTAATAGCACTGTTGGCTCTACTCTTTGTTAAAACGAACTCAGCCGTTTAATAGCACTGTTGGCCCTACTCTTAGTTAAAACGAACTCAGCCGTTTAATAGCACTGTTGGCCCTACTCTTAGTTAAAACGAACTCAGTCGTTTAATAGCACTGTTGGCCCTACTCTTTGTTAAAATGAACTCAGCCGTTTAATAGCACTGTTGGCCCTACTCTTAGTTAAAACGAACCCAGACGTTTAATAGCACTGTTGGCCCGACTCTTAGTTAAAACGAACCCAGCCGTTTAATAGCACTGTTGGCCCTACTCTCGGAGTCGTCATTTTCCTCGTCATGGTCCGAGTCGTCCTGGTAACCATCCGACAGGGCTGGGGTTACCCCCACTGAATAGTTGCTCCGTCTCCCTTCGTCTGCCATCGCCCCTTTGTTCGTTTGTTCCTGCACCAGCCGGCGCCCCACGCTCCTGAAAGGGGGCGGCCTTGTGAAGCTGGGGCTCAGTTCGAGAAAGCCTTCGTTGGGCGGATCTTGTCGCACTAACGACTTCTGAAGGAGCGCAAATCTGACGTCTAAAAGTGGCCGATCCACATTAAACGGCTGATCTTTGGCCGGTCTGGACGAGTCGAACACGTCTGGGTGAGTCGGGGCAGTCTCTACTTCTAAAGTTTCGGTATTTTCATGCTCAGCAACGACCCCGAGAATCTCCGGCTGATTCGCCTCATTGACCGCGCTTATTTCGTCAAGATGATTAACTCCATTGCTGATGGCGCTGACATCGTCTGTGGCTGATTCTGGTTTTTCGCTCACAGGTTCTGCGGTATTATGAGTAGAGCGTGGTAGGGTGTGGAATATCTGCGTCATTCCTTTAGGGCCTCTTTGATAGCTGAAGCCCACTCGTCGACGAGGGGTAAAGTCTTCAGCGGCACCTAAATCATTGGACCCAGTTCCTGTGAGAGAAACTGGCAAAGAAATATCGATAGATGGTAACAAATTTGTTTCGTTGTCTTCTTCCTGCTGTCTAGGCAAATCTAAAGACCTCGACAGTCGCTCGAGTTCGCCGTCCTTCAGCAGCCTCGCTCGTCTTTTCCTAAGTTTGTTTTTACCCGTATAAGAGTTGCCCGTGACAGTTTTGTTTGTCTCCCGTATGTTGGGCAATGACCCCGTTTTGTAGTTGTAAGGGTGATCCCTGTCTTGATGGTCGTCTGCGCCGTCGGACGTGTAGCCGTAGTACTCTTGTTCAAACTCATGGTAGTCCTGGCCGTGGTGGACTTTGGTCAGCTTCTTCAGCGCCTTGTCCTTAAACTGCTTCCTCAGAACAAACGACTTCTTCTGTAGGTCCAGCTCCCTCTTGGCTCTGCTGCACTGAGATGCCAGGCCTGACAACTGGACTTCTAGAACCTGTAAAAAAAGACCACAATGAAATATTTAATTATAAACTAAATTGAACATAGCTCTTGCCATATAACAAAAAGACACACCTCATGTGATTTCAAATAATGTGACAGTTAAGAATGAAATGAAAAATATTTAACATGAGGTTATGTATTTATTTGTCTTCTTTTTTACCCCAAACTTTAAATTTGTTCATTCGTCATGCAATGCGCGTTATCTTAGAGCTTTTATGCGTGACGTCTAATCTCCAGTAAAAATGTTTATTTTTTTAGTGTTTATTTTTTTAGTGGGAGTGGAATATTATATTAATCAATAAAAAGCCACGGGTAGGGTGTAGCAGTGTAGGACTTCTGCATGCTATTGTTTAAAGGCTGGTAGGACTGCCTGTAGGACTATTGTTTAAATGCCGGCAGGTAGTGTTTAGGTCTGTCTGCATGCCTATTGTTTATTCGCCGGCATATATTATAGAAAATGAAAAGGTAACTCTTTTCTTTTTTTGTTATACTAGGACCCAGCGGATATTTTCTCAAAATACCTGGACCCGATGTGAAAAAAAAACAACAACCCGCTTCTGGTTAAGTCCAAGTACAATAATATTTTTGCAAAAATTCGAAGTTATGGACAAGGTAAATTCGGACATAATTGTTATGTCCATAGTAAGTCATAAACCATAGGGACACCGAGGGATAACTCACAAACATAGCCAACATTGGTAAACATTGTCGATCTCCCACCTACCGACTGCTCCGTGGCGTTGTCGTAGAGCAGGACCTTGTGCATACTCGTCTTCAGCCGGACCACGTCTTTGAACTTCTTGCCGTAGTTGGGCATGATCCGGGGCGGCCTGTGCATGTAGCTCAGGTCGTTGGGCTGACGTGTCAGTGACCCGGCCCAACTGGACGGCAACGACGTGCTGGAGGAGACGGTCGATGGCGTCATCGACAGGTGGGATTTGGACTCCAGTGTGACGTCAGTTGACGACATTCTGAACACAGGGGAAGATTCGCGTCAAATGCGTAGGGACTCTATCTGAAATTGACATTTGAAAACGTGTCTATATTGAAATTTGGGGCTGAACATTGGACAAAACATGCATACAAGTAACGCACTTGATCAGAATCCCAATGAGTGCTTCCTCCCTCAAGGCTCATAACTGCACATTTTCTTCACGTCACTGAACTATTTTAAGATCCAAATGTCCCACTCGCCTTTACACCGCAGATTTTATTTCACAAACAATTTTACAAAAAACAAAAGAAAATGTTACGCACCAAACGAACTTGCCGTTGTTTTTTAAAGGTATTCCCATATAGCACTGTTGTCGGGAATTTTATTGGCTAAAATCATATTTCGTCCACATATCCCTTAAAAATAGGAGATACGGATTTTTTTTTTTCGTGGGGGAGGGGGGGTACCGGCTAGTGGTGGGGCTGAAAGTTTGATAGAATTGTCATCGGCAGCGAATCTTTGTAAATAGTTTTCGCTCGATAGCCTGGGTCTTAAGAGAGGCATTCCTCTTCACCCGTATATGTGTGTTAGTTAGTTAGTGTGTATGTGTGAGAGTTTGTGTGTTTGTGTGGTTGCGCCGCCACGTGAAAGGAACAGAAGATTTAATGTTGGACTTTGCCAAATGTTTTTTAGTGTTACCTAAATTTCTTGAGGAAAAAGCCAGAGAAATGCAGAGAGATATCAAACCAATCCTGGAGGAAGCGTGGATAAAATATTTTTTTTTTAAAAATCAGTGGATTTATATTAAAAAAAAGAAAATAGTTTTGATTTTTTTTAAACCAACATTTAGAGTTTTCATATTCGAGGTGGAAAAATTCAATTTGAGGACCACGTTCTATTGTTTTTCCAACCCTAACTAACTCATTTCTCGATTTATTGAAGGAGTTTAAAAAAATATATATTTTATTAGTTTGAAAATGAAACTGGTGAGTGGAGTCGTGTGATTGTTATAACTCATATTAAATAATTTACTTAAAAAAAACTTTTTTTTTCTTTTCATTTTTTGACATTATTGTTTTCTTTCGCATTTTAATTTTTCATCAAAGAAAACGTAATCCATATTTAGGCACCGAAATACCATGAAAGAATTACTTGATTTATTTACGAATCGATTTAAGTAATGGCATCGATACTTTAATTATTTTGCAAGCTTCCAGCAAGCTATAATTCAAACGAGAATATATGAAGTTAAAAGTTTGAAGAATCGATGCGTGACGAAATCGATATGAACAAACCAAGCACTTAGATCAAACGCCCAATTGTCCGCATTTCTTTGATCTGTATGTAGACCCGATGACGTAGCCCGTAAGCACGTAGCAAGTGTAGACATATTTAAGGATTACAGTGGCATAATTGTGCACACTTAGAGATTATAGTTTGCCAGTAAGCCCATGGTACTCAAATGATTAATGTAGACATTATGTGGAACGTTCTCTTCTCACGTATTCGGACGCGAGTCTCCATTTGGAGCACGTTGTGAAGGGGGGACGGTAGGAGCTCATCGCGCAGTTGGTCACGTCAACCTAAAATGGTTAAAGAGTCGAGTCACAAGCCCCAAAATGAGATAAAGGCCAGTCAAAAATTTCACAAACCCACGTCATTCGGGTCTCCCCGGATGCAAATGAGTCGAGAAGAGGATTTCACTTTACTTATTTTAAAGAAAAATGGAGGGGGGTGGGGGGGGGGGGTTTGGCGCAGATATAAGACAAAACTCAAATTAGCTCTGATACAAATGAATATCAGGTTCCAAACAGAGTTGGTTGCATCCTTAAGACAGTGATCAGGGATTGACCCTAGTGCTCCATTCATGGCGTCATGAAAAGGTTGGTATTCAATGGTTACGAAACAGGAGTGCAGTGGTAGCCTAATTTTGTGTCAAAATATTTCGAGTCCTGTTCTCGCAGCATTATAAGACTTGAATTCCAAGGCAGAAACCTAGTCAATAAGACAGTCACTCAGACAGTCACTAAGACAGTCACTAAGACAGTCACTAAGACAGTCTCTAATACAGTCACTAAGACAGTCACTCAGACAGTCACTAAGACAGTCTCTAATACAGTCACTAAGACAGTCACTCAGACAGTCACTAAGACAGTCACTCAGACAGTCACTAAGACAGTCACTAAGACAGTCACTCAGACAGTCACTCAGACAGTCACTAAGACAGTCACTAAGACAGTCTCTAATACATTCACTAAGACAGTCAATAAGACAGTCACTCAGACAGTCACTCAGACAGTCACTAAGACAGTCACTAAGACATTCACTAAGACAGTCACTAAGACAGTCATTAAGACAGTCACTAATACAGTCACTAAGAAAGTCTCTAATACAGTCACTAAGACAGTCACTCAGGCAGTCACTAAGACATTCACTCAGACAGTCACTAAGACAGCCACTCAGACAGTCACTAAGACAGTCACCAAGTAAGACAGTATTTCTGAGTGAGGTTTATTTTATTTTATTTTATTTTTTTTTCGTGATACACCACTTAAAGTTCAATTTTCTTTGACCGGTTCAATCATAAAATCATTTTAAAATAATTTTTTTAAACAGAATTGTCACTTAAAATCAGGAATGAATTCAACCTCAAGCTGTATAATTATTTGATCAAAGTCTTCATATAGATATTTGACACATAGACACAAAGCATATAGAAACATAACACATAGAAACAAAAAACATAGACAAAAAACATAGATACAAAACACATAGACAATAAACAGATAGACACAAAACACAACACTGTCTGCGAAGATGCCAAACTATAAACCCAGGTCTGAAACCCTTTAGCAGGGCCGTACCAAGAGGGGAGTCGGCCTCCACCACGGGCGTTACCTTCTCAGGCTGCCAAAATCGCAATTTTTAATGCTAAATATTTGAACTGTTAATGTATACTTTTTGGGGAAGAGGAATTAGTCCTGGTGGCACAGCATCTGCTTACGACGGTCCTGCAATGCTCCCGTAGTATCGAGGACCCTGGACACGTTGATCATCTTGTCCCATTATAGAAACGACTCTCTCTGAGTATCGAGGGCCCTGGATACGTTGATCAACTTTTCCCATTTCAGAACCGAGTCCGTGTATCGAGGGCCCTGGAAACGTCAATCAACTTGTCCCATTATAGAACCAACTCCGAGTATCGAGGGCCCTGGACACGTCGATCAACTTGTCCCATTACAGAACCGACTCCGAGTATCGAGAGCCCTGGACACGTCGATCAACTTGTCCCATTTCAGAACCGAGTCCGTGTATCGAGGGCCCTTGACACGTCGATCAACTTGTCCCATTACAGAACCGACTCCGAGTATCGAGGGCCTTGGACACGTCGATCAACTTGTCCCATCATTACAGAACCGACTCCGAGTATCGAGGGCCCTGGAAACGTCGATCAACTTGTCCCATTACAGAACCGACTCCGAGTATCGAGGGCCCTGGACACGTCGATCAACTTGTCCCATGATAAAACCGTCTCTGAGTATTACGAGTCGGTTGTAGCAATGTATTGGAGTTTTCTAAATCGATCAATACATTTCATTGGAATGTCAAAGTGGTCCATTGAAGGCCCGATGATTACCAATGCACTCTGATCAATCATCGCGATAACAAGTGAAAGAATGAAGTTGTTTAAAATGGAGTGTTGATTTTTCTAACCCCATGGGTCTTTTCTGTATTATGTGTTATCCATGTGTGGAACTATTGTGTGTATAAATATTCTGGGTGGAGCGTTTGTGTATGGGACCTTTTTAAAACTTTTTTTGTCAGCAAACATTGTGGGTGAATCATTTTTATGAAGACTTTTGTGTTAGGAAGTTGGTCAGATCTGTTGAATGAGTAGCTAGTGGAACGCTTGTCGTGTGGGTCTATTTTATGTGTTAGGGTATGAAGTCTGTGACTATTTTATATAGATGAGTGAGGTAATGGTATGTCAGGTTTAGTGAGATGGACACTGTGTGTGTTTCAACATGGCATATTCATTTTACTAGACTTAATTTTTTTATAAAATATATTTTCTTGAATAAAAGTAACACATCTAGGTGAAAACAGGAACGATAAACCAAAATAGAACACTTTCCCTTTTAAACATAAATAGCACCTGGAAACACACGTGGAAAAACACTTCGGAACAAAAATATAAAAACACACATAAAAACACACAAAGAAACACACATATAAAACACACATAAAAACACACAGAAACACACATAAAACACACATAGAAACACATACAGAAACACACATAGAAACACACATAAAAACACACATTAGAAACACACACAGAAACACACAGAAACACACATAAACACACATAGAAACACATACAGAAATACACATAGAAACACGTAGAAACACACATATAAAAATACACACAGAAACATACACAGGAAAACTCAGAAACATACACAGAAACACACACAGAAGCACATACAGAAACACACACAGAAACACACATAAAAACACACACATAAAGACACATATAGAAGCACACTCAGAAACACACAGAAACATACACAAAAACACACATATAAAAATAACATAGAAAAAACACATAGAAACATACATAAAAACACACATAGAAACACACAAATAAAAATACACACAGAAACACACTTAGAAACACACAGAAACCCTCATAGAAAAACACAAAGAAAAACACATAGAAACACACATAAAACACACACAGAAACACACACATAAACACACTTAGAAACAGACATATAAAATACACACAAAAACACACAGAAACACAGACAGAAACACAGACAGAAACACACACATAAACACACACATAAACACACATATAAAAACACACACAGAAACACACTCAGAAACACACATATAAATACACACAAAGAAACACACAACGATACACGGACGCAAAACATGAAAACAGACACCGACGATCGCACCGACCAACACACAGCCTCACACCAACTTGTGGAGTAAATTGTTATATTTACATTTATTTTTTTTTTAAATTAATAATCATTGTCCTATGACCTAAAGACAATTGTGATTCAACAATTGAACAAATTAGCTTTCTGCTGAGGCTCTCTTCTTATAATCTACATTCTACTTTACATAGACACATTTATTACATCTCAGAACATAAAATCGTCATCTCGAGTTCTCAAAAAAAAAAAAACAACATTACTTACCTGTCTTGCTTATTAACATAAAATCGTCATCTCGAGTTCTCAAAAAAAAAAAAAAAACAACATTACTTACCTGTCTTGCTTATTAGTCAGAATTTGTTTAAGATTATCCCAAATCCCCTTCTTTGTAGTTTGAGTCGTATTTAAAACGTACCAACCCTCGTCATGACAGCGGCTCTTAGAAGTTACACACATTTCTAAAACATTCGGATTTTATATTTATGACGTGAATGCGAGTGAAAACAAATTTTGATTTTTTTCTTCCCCCCTGGAAGGTAGGTAAATAATTCATTTTCATGAACGACAATATGAAAACAATTGTGTCTTACTGAACCGTGGCTGTTCAACAACGCCTTTTACTCAAAACTCTTTCTCGAGGGGACACGGTCCAGTGAGACGTCACAAGCGAGCGATCAATCAATAAAACAATGTTACAAGAGTCTAGAGGCGAAATACAATATGTTGCGAAGAAATGATTGAAAACTTTTACGTAATGGAACTTGACATGCGCAGTGGAGTGGTGTTGTGCTGGTTATTGTCTCAAAATGTGGTCCGAAATATTCGATGGTAACCGTAAACTGGGATTAGCGTGTGAACAAGAGAGATACGTGTGTGAGAAAGTGGGATTATCGTGTGAATGATAGGGATTAGCATGTGAGAAAGCGAGATTATCATGTTAAAAAAAAGAGGAATTAATATGTGAAAAGTGAGATTATAATGTGACTAAGAGGGATTAATGTGTGAAAAAGTGAGATGATAATATAAATAAGAGGGATTAGTGTGTGAAAAACTGAGATTATCATGTGAAAAAGTGAGATTATCATGTGAAAATCTCTGATTATCATGTGAAAAAGGGAGATTACTCTTTGCCAAATTGACTTAGCGAGGGAAAGATGTAATTAAAATTTGCACAGATCGGATCAATCTCGATCATTGTTTTTGATTTAAATCACCATGTTGGTTTCTTTATCTCCCTTAGTTCTGTCTACACCGTGAGCTTCACGTCCCCCATTTAGAAATGATACCAAGAGCTAGGGGGTAGCCTGCCTAACTTTACAAGACTCAGTGGTAGCCTGCCTAACCTTACAAGACTCAGTGGTAGCCTGCCTAACTTTACAAGACTCAGTGGTAGCCTGCCTAACCTTACAAGACTCAGTGGTAGCCTGCCTAACTGTACAAGACTCAGTGGTAGCCTGCCTAACTTTACAAGACTCAGTGGTAGCCTGCCTAACTTTACAAGACTCAGTGGTTGCCTGCCTAACCTTACAAGACTCAGTGGTAGCCTGCCTAACTTTAGAATACTCAGTGGTAGCCTGCCTAACTTTACAAGACTCAGTGGTAGCCTGCCTAACCTTACAAGACTCAGTGGTAGCCTGCCTAACTGTACACGACTCAGTGGTAGCCTGCCTAACCTTACAAGACTCAGTGGTAGCCTGCCTAACTTTACAAGTCTCAGTTTTGGTAGCCTGTCTATCCTTACTATACTCAGTGGTAGCCTGCCTAACTTTACAAGACTCAGTGGTAGCCTGCCTAACTTTACAAGACTCAGTGGTAGCCTGCCTAACTTTACAAGACTCAGTGGTAGCCTGCCTAACCTTACAAGACTCAGTGGTAGCCTGCCTAACTGTACAAGACTCAGTGGTAGCCTGCCTAACCTTACAAGACTCAGTGGTAGCCTGCCTAACTTTACAAGTCTCAGTTATAGTGTGTCTACCACACAAGACACAATGGTAGGGTGCCTACCTCACAAGCACTCAATGGTAACGTTCCTACCACACAAGCACTTAATGGTTGCGTGTCTATCACACAAGCCTTAGGGCGTCATGATCATTTAGCGTATGTCTTGGGGCTTCATGGTCAGATGACGTACTACCTAGACATTTTGGGCCCCAACTTTTAGGGTTGCCGGTAGGCGCGTGAAAATGATTGGTCATCCAGTGGGGCAGCTTTTCCATGAGCAGGATGTAATCCCTGAGAAAAGATAACACAACCACAAAAGTCTGATGAATACAGCCAGAATAGGTTGTGATTTAATGATGGCTGTTGATTGGCTATCCCATAGACAAAGGTGTAAAAATTACCCTAATGGCTTTCCTCCACTCTCCCCAGTTTGTATCATTTTAAATGAATAATATAATTAGTATTTAAATGTCTCCACCTCACAGTCAACCACAGCATTCTATCAGGTTAAATGGTTAACTCTATGCTGTAGATCTGTCATCTCACAGTCAACCACAGCATTCTATCAGGTTAAATGGTTAACTTTATGCTGTAGATCTGTCATCTCACAGTCAACCACAGCATTCTATCAGGTTAAATGGTTAACTTTATGCTGTAGATCTGTCATCTCACAGTCAACCACAGCATTCTATCAGGTTAAATGGTTAACTTTATGCTGTAGATCTGTCATCTTACAGTCAACCACAGCATTCTATCAGGTTAAATGGTTAACTTTATGCTGTAGATCTGTCATCTCACAGTCAACCACAGCATTCTATCAGGTTAAATGGTTAACTTTATGATGTAGATCTGTCAGCTCACAGTCAACCACAGCATTCTATCAGATTAAATGGATAACTTTATGCTGTAGATCTGTCAGCTCACAGTCAACCACAGCATTCTATCAGATTAAATGGTTAACTTTATGCTGTAGATCAGTCAGCTCACAGTCAACCACAGCATTCTATCAGGTTAAATGGTTAACTTTATGCTGTAGATCTGTCAGCTCACAGTCAACCACAGCATTCTATCAGATTAAATGGTTAACTTTATGCTGAAGATCTGTCAGTAGTTTCTGCAAAGTGCAATTATTCAACTGTAACCAGATAATCCAGACAGTTACATGTCTCAATAGTAACTTTTACAGTAGTTATGATCTTTCGAAACAATGGATTTATCTCCATATCTGAGTATCAAAACAATAGATTTCTCTCTACATCTGAGTATCGAAACAATGGAGTTATCTCCATATCTGAGTATCAAAACAATGGATTTCTCTCAATTTCTGAGTATCAAAACAATGGATTATCTCTTTATTTGAGGTATCGAAACAAATTATTGCTCTACTTATTTGAGTATCTAAATAATGGCTCGCTCTCCATATTTGATTATCGAAATTAGCATTTTAAAAAATATGATTTACATTCAATTAATATTTAAGTTGTTTTTTTTTTTTTTTTTTTTGTTTTTTTTTTTTTTTTATATTTTTATTTTTTTTTTTTTTTTTTTTTTTTTTTTTTTTTTTTTTTTTTTTTTTTTTGTGGTGGGGGGAAATATTGTGAACTAACCAATGACAAAATCATTATTCAATTTAATCAGCTTTTCAGTTAATTGAAAAATGAAATGTATAATTATGTACGAAATAGATTTTAATGCAAAGCCTCGTTTATGTTCATTTTTTTTTTTTTTTTTTGGAGTTGGGGTGGGGTGGGGTTTGTGAACTAACCAATGACAAAATCATTATTCAATTTAATCAGCTTTTCAGTTAATTGAAAAATGAAATGTATAATTATGTACGAAATAGATTTTAATGCAAAGCCTCGTTTATGTTCAATACGTTTGTTGTGAGAAATTGTCCAACTATTTACAATGGTTTAAATTTTGTGAAATCGGAAAACAGAAACATTTTAAAAATAAATTGGGGATTGGGGGGGGGGTGTTTGGGGGTGGGGTGGTATTCCAAGTTGACGACTTACTGAGATACGCATTGACGTCATTCTTAAAAACAGTTGACATGCTCCCAGTTTTGATGATATGTTTCTAAGTAAAAGTTATATCAATTTTTTTCAAAGAAATAAGTTTTAAAAAAAAATGATAATTAGAAATATAAATTGATAGGGAACTAAGTCTAAAGCTACCTAACTGTACACAAATTATTATGTCCAAGAATGACTTCACAAAAAAAAATTATTTTTTTCCTCTCATTAATAAAGGATCATTCGATCTTTTCTCTCGCACGCATTGCTATTGATTTCATCCATCGGGTCGATCACTACCCACGCAGGGTCAAGTTATTTATCAAACTATGTTTTTGGTCGGCACCATTCATGCACCGGCCAGCGGCTGACAATGAACGACCGGGCTGTGACGTCATTTCCTCTGTGTGCGGTGCCAATGGTTGAAACTGCGAGTGAGCACTCGTGTTGGACCGGTCGGTGTGGTGGTTTTCTTAATCAAGCAATGTCATACGTAACTCCTTTTGCACCAAGAATCCATACCATGATTGTAACACGATTTTTTTTTTAAGAATGGGGGAAAATTTCCTTAAGAATTTTGCGAAAACTCGCTGCAACAAGTATTTTGTACTAGGTCTTTACCAGGTGCAGGTTGTTGTTTTTTTTAAAATGGGTCCGGGTACTATTAAAAGAAAAAACCCGGTGCGTCGAAGAGTTAAAACAATAGTCTTTAAACAATAGTCCTACAGGTAGTCCAACACTTACCTGCCGGCCATTAAACAATATACCTGCAGACAGCCGTACACCAGACCTGTGGCTCTTTATTGATTAATATAATAGTCGCATTCCCTTAAAGATAAAATGAAGCACCTAAATTCACACGTCACGCACGATATCCTTTTTCTTCCACTCAGTACTATTAATATAAAACATGTGGAGATGGGATGAGGGTGGTTTCGAAAAGGAAGCAGGACACACCAGAAGCAACATATTTATAAGAGATAAGAAAGAAATACCGGTAGATTCAATTTTGGAAGTCGTGTTCCTTGAAATATGGAATATTATCAGAGTCGATTGTCTTTCCCCAAGAGTACCGTTGCTTGTAGCTCTAATTTTATTCATTGAAAAATGTATCAATATTTTAAATTATAATTCACTTAGCCATGAGTGTACATGGAGATCGATAATATCAGTTATCTAATCAATGCATCGTTCATGGAAAATCTCATCAAACCATCCAATTATCTAGTAAACCACTCATCAAACCATCAAATTATCTAATAAACCACTCATCAAACCATCCAATTATCTAGTAAACCACTCATCAAACCATCAAATTATCTAATAAACCACTCATCAAACCATCCAATTATCTAGTAAACCACTCATCAAACCATCAAATTATCTAATAAACCACTCATCAAACCATCCAATTATCTAGTAAACCACTCATCAAACCATCAAATTATCTAATAAACCACTCATCAAACCATCCAATTATCTAGTAAACCACTCATCAAACCATCAAATTATCTAATAAAACGCTCATCAAACCATCCAAATTATGTAGTAAACCACTCATCAAACCATCCAATTATCTAGTAAACCACTCATGAAGCCATTTTATCATCGATGGAATTACTCAGCCTACTATTTTGAACCACGGATAATTTTTTAAACATCCTACATGAAAATATCCATTGAATCCACTTCAATTCTGATATCGATCTAACGACAAACACCACGAGCAAACAAACCACGACGTCTTATTATATTATGTATTTTATCCAGAGTCATATAGTTCTTTTTGTCCAAAATCATACACAATGAACATGCATAATTTCTCATAAGTATGTATAAGTTCTCATAAGTATATATAAGCTCTTATACGTATGTATAACTTTTTACAAATTTTATACGTTATTATAAAAATGTATAATTTGACAATGTTCCGGCCATTTCTCAGCCGCCCCATTCATCCTATGACGTGAGTTGGTTCAAAAAAAAAAAAAAAAAAAAAAGAAAAAGACTCCATTCCCTCCACAAAGCTCATTCATCAAAACTCTTAATTCACTTGTCAACATTGAACTGTCAAAACTCCCACGAGATAACGAAACCGCGCAGTAATTTAAACACGTTTTCACTCTCTCACAAAATATTCTAACGTAAAAGAATGGTTTGTTTTTTTTACCTTTTTGTAATCCGTTGGTCAACAATCGAAACTCAAGGAGGTTACGAATTGTAATTTTGTTCCGTTTATTTGAGAATGCAAAATTTTTTTTTTCTATAACTAAAGGAAACACAGACTGATTTAGGTTATTGGTTTGTTTATTTTGTAAATTAATGAGTTTGCTATTTTAACTTAAAAGCAAATGAGTCAATCACAATCAATCTAATAATTACATTATCTTCCATGCTTAAAAGATAAACTAAAAATATTGGTGCGATACACAATTCATTAACTCAGACCTCAGTTTTAAGACGACGAAAAATATTTTACAGTGACATTAAACAGTGCTAGATCTAACTTAATGCACTTACCAGAATTTTCGTTAATGCTGCCAATCAATACAAACACGCCACGAAAAGCGACTAAATATCACAATCCTACACTATAGCCGGCAATAAAACATTTTATATTTTGATTCCCAATTCCCCCAGTAGAACATTTAATTTAGCTTACACTTCTAGTCTTGGTGGCCTCCGTCTGCCGCCGCCTGGTGCAGTGAATGTCTTAAAGTTTGTTCCCGCATTAATCAAGCCTGATAGCGTTCTTTGCTTCCCGCTGTACATACCTTGATTAATGTGATGTCGTTGCGACCTCTGACCTGGCTTTCTACATAAATGCACGCAGATATCGATCACTGGGTGTCAACGACTAACTTGTCTCGAGTCTTTTGTAAAATACATGTCTCTCTTAAACTCTGCGTTTTTTTTTAAATGTTTGTTAAATATACGTCCCTCTTAAACTATACGGTTATTTCTGTTAAATATCTTTGGCCCTTAAACTCCACATTTTTTTTGTGTTAAATTTATTTAACTCTACGTTTTTTGTTGTTGTTGTTAAATATATGTCCCTCTTAAACTCTACCGTTTTTGTTAAATATATCTCAGCCTTAAAGTGTACCGTATCTTGTAAAATATATGTATCCCTTAAACGCGACCGTTTTTTCCCCCGGGGTTCGTGGGGGGGGGGGGGTTAATATACGTCTTTCTTAAACTGTACCATTTCTAAACCAGAGATATAGGCCAGGAATCATTTTGTTGAAGTTAGATGTTTCAGTCCGTTGTGTATCACTGAGTTTTTTTCCCCCGGGGTGGGGGGGGGGGGGGGGGGGGTTAATATACGTCTTTCTTAAACTGTACCATTTCTAAACCAGAGATATAGGCCAGGAATCATTTTGTTGAAGTTAGATGTTTCAGTCCGTTGTGTATCACTGAGGTTTTATTGAAGAGAAAGGAATGACGCGATCGAAATATTTTAATTACGTTAAAAATATTGTAATACATTTCTCAAAATCTTAGATAATTTCCTTTGAAATGAACACACGATATTTGTATTGACGTGAACTGTTTCATTAATGGTTTTTATCCCGTAGGGCTGAAGCGTTTTGATGTGTTAGATGTGTTAATTTCTTATTTTAAACTTATAGCCCAGATCGAAATACGCCGTGATTATTTGTTCCTCAATTATAACTGTAGATAATGATGTGAAAAGATGCACGTACTGTGGGTCATGCAGAAGAATAAGCGTTAAGAAACGTCTGTCAATAACAACATTTCCCATCTGTCAATAGCCCTGTTTCCCGTCTGTCAATAACACTATTTCCCGTTTGTCAATAACACTATTTCCCGTCTGTCAATAACATTATTTCCCGTCTGTCCATAACACTATTTCCCGTCTGTCCATAACACTATTTCCCGTCTGTCAATAACACTATTTCCCGTCTGTCAATAACACTATTTCCCGTCTGTCAATAACACTATTTCCCGTCTGTCCATAACACTATTTCCCGTCTGTCCATAACACTATTTCCCGTCTGTCAATAACACTATTTCCCGTCTGTCAATAACACTATTTCCCGTCTGAAATATTGGGGGAAACTTAAATCTCTGAAAGCATTCGGGTGTATTGAATGCTTGATCAACTTGAACATTTCTTTGGTTGCAATTATCGATTTCAAAATTAAGTATTTAAGGGCTTTAAGAAACAACTCCTAGACAATCATAAATTTTGTATTCCTAGAGCTGAAGAATATTAGTCTGACTGAAATTAAATTGTGTTAATTTGTATTCTTTCACCCAATCAAGGAAATCTGCTTTGACCTACTAATTTTGTATACATACTTTGCTTCTGGTGTGTCCTGCTTCCTTTTCGAAACTGCAATCCCCCAAACTCCACGTATTTTGTATTAGTAGTACTGACAGGGCAAAACATGCTGTCATGCGTGACGTATGAACTCCGGTAAACAAAGTTTCAAAAGGGGTAGGTGACTATTAAATAAATCAAGAAAGATCAAAGGATATGATGTAGGACTGCCAGTAGGACTGCCAGTAGGACTGTCAGTAGGACTGTCAGTAGGACTGCCAGTAGGACTGCCAGTAGGACTGTCTTTATTACTGTATGTAGGCCTATTGTTTAAAGCCCGGCAGGTTGGGTGTAGGACTGTAGCGTTTTTTTCAAAAGTACCCGGACACTGTGTACAAATACAACTACTGCACCCAGTTAAGCCCTAGTAATTTATATCATAGCTATGTTGTTGGAGTGATAATATTCTTTCAACACCAAGAAATGCTCCAAAGCACACTTTTATTTTTAAAATCGCATCGGATATTTAAACTACACAAACTTTAACAGACACGCCCAACGCCAAGGATGTCTGTCTGTTTTATTCATCAAAATGGATGGAGTTCGTTGTTCAAAGGTGGAAGTGAGATAGAAATGAATATGTGTTAAGTGTTAGAAAGGATCAATCCCAGACCTGGGGTTCTAAATTAAGATTCTTCTTGTCCTCCTTCTATATTTTGAGGGCACACGCTCCATGAATTGATCATTGTGGCTCTTGTGTTTCAGAGTGGTTCGCGATGTAGCTGTGCATGGTTTTGAAAGGGATCCTTCACTGGTTGCAAGGGCTACTTCACTGGTTGCAAGGGCTACTTCACTGGTTGCAAGGGCTACTCAGCAGCGGTAGACATTGGGAGTTTGAAGACAGGAGGCAATAGACGCAAATCTATCAAGTTTAGTCGCCTCAGCTGTTGCTTTTGGAAGCTTGTTCCAGTCCCTTATTTTCTTTGGCAGGAATGAGGAGCTCCTGTACTGAGTTCTTGCTTCTATTAGCCAGAACTGCCTGTCGTGACCCTGTCGCTGTCTAGGGGGGAGAGGGACGAGGTTCTGCTTAATGCTGGATTTCAATGCGGTTCAAAAAAATTATGTAAGCTGTTTCAAAGGCACAGCATTTATTTTATAAGTACTTTTTTCGAACTGTTATGCAATCAGAAATTTTTCTTAGAGTCGAGTTCAGAAAAATTCTGACGAAGCATGATAAATTAGAAAAAAAAAACATATTTACAAAAAAATCGAACGCACAAAATACAAGCACGAATCATTGAACTAAACTAAAATGTTATCCCAACGTGTTTAACAGTTTATAAATATTCAATTTTATATTGTGTTCAAGTTTCAAGTATATTTGAATGCAAGTCATTGCTCGCTGCCACGGGAGCTGACTTGGAATGGGAAAAAGGATCAAATGAATTCTATGTCAATATTTGCTTATTTAAATACATCACCTGACGTCAAACAGCCTTCAAACTGAGTCAATATTTGCTTGCTATGAAACTGGCGGGCCAGTAGACGAGGCCTTGTACGTAGGCCAACGGGTGCAAGCGGCCATTTCGCTGAATGCGTTGTCAGCCTGTATTATTTTGACAACGACGAATTGCGTCATTGTAAAGATGATTGCTAAGCGAAATTTGTCTGGCAACGAACGGCACGAAGACTTGTGAAAGAATAGTAGGGCCTACTAGCTGTTCATATATGGAAACAGTGGGTCTTAAATGTCACACTTAAATATAAGTACAAAGTGACACCCAGGGCGGACAGCAACCTCCGCACGCCCTTGAATGGACTTGAATATTTATGTAGTGCTTGTATCCAAGCCACTTTAGCATGCTCACAGCGTTCTGGTGTTCTTAATAATCTAATTAAATAAAATAAAGTCTTTAAATGTTTCTTTTATGATTTTTTTATCATTTCCAATTTCCCTCAAAAAGATTGATGCAAACTGTTCCATAATTTTGGCGCTTTCGCTTAAAAAAAAACGCACTCCGTATGACTTCTTTCTGTCTCCATCCACACTGGGAACTCTCAAGTAGGGACTGTGTTGCAGACCGCAGGTTCTTTAAGGATACATGTTTATAATTCAGTTCTTTAAGATATTCCGGTGCAGAGCCTTCTATGCAGCTGTACGGCAGAGACAGAGCCTTCTATGCAGCTGCACGGCAGGGACAGAGCCTTCTATGCAGTTGTGCGGCAGGGACAGAGCCTTCTATGCAGCTGTACGGCAGGGACAGAGCCTTCTATGCAGCTGTACGGCAGGGACAGAGACTTCTATGTTGCTGTACGCCAGGGACAGAGCCTTCTATGCAGCTGTACGGCAGGGACAGAGCCTTCTATGCAGCTGTACGCCAGGGACAGAGCCTTCTCTTCTTCTTCTTTATTTTAAGGGCCCACGATCAATGAATTGATCATTCTGGCTCCTATGTTTCAGAGGGGTTTGCGAAGTTACTGTCCATGGGTTTCAATGGGATACTTCACTGGTTGCAAGGGCGACTCAGCAGTGGTGTTATAAACTGGGGGTTGGAATACAGGAGGCAATAGACACAAATGTCTCGAGTGTAGCCACCTCAACTGTTGCTTTTGGAAGCTTGTTCCAGTCCCCTATTGTCTTCGGCAGGAATGAGGAGCTTCTGTACTTTGTTCTTGTTTTTACCAGCCGGAACTGTTTGTCGTGGCTTCGTCGCAGTCTGGGGGGAAGATGAACGAGTTTCTGTTTGATTCCGAAGCAGTGCACCAGCCCATTTGTTATCTTGTACAACATGGAGAGCCTGGATAGTCGTCGTCGTTCTTCCAATGTCGACCAGCCCAGTGTTTCCAGCATGCTACCATTCTATGCAGCTGCACGCCAGGGACAGAGCTTTCTATACAGCTGTACGCTAGGGACAGAGCCTTCTATGCAGCTGTACGGCAGGGACAGAGCCTTCTATGCAGCTGTACGGCAGGGACAGAGCCTTCTATGCAGCTGTACGCCAGGGACAGCGCCTTCTATGCAGCTGTACGGCAGGGGACACAATTTTGTAGTCAATGCGCGCAATGACTACTCTTCTACACCAACATCATTCACATTCATACAATTGTTATGTTGTATTGTATTGGACGAAAAATTGTTTACAGACTTTGCATGAACTCTATAACCTAGTTACATAGACTCTTAGACACACGATAAGCAGCCTTTCCCTTAGGTATTCCATACTCCACTGACACCGTGTTGGTAATTGACCTTTGCCAGGCTCTGATTGTATAGCAAAGTATGAGTTTGAAAAAAAAAAAAAAATCACCTTGCAGTATCCATGGGCGGCGATGATTTGACCAAAGAGGGTGATAAAATAGGTTTAAGATTATTTTAAACGATAAAGCCCACTTAGTTAGCAGCGCCTTCGCCACCCCTGCCCCACCCGGGGTCGCCTATGGAAGTATTATATAAAAGGTAGTTTTACAATAAGAGAGCAGATGATAATGTCATTATGTTTTTGTTTTTTTTTTTAATAATAAAAGCGAATAGCTCCTATAGATAAGTAACACGTGGTTATATTGCGATAACTTGGATCCATAATAACAGTGACGCGTTGGTGTTGTGTTTTACCGTATTCCGTGCAAATAGCTTTGGGATTAAAAAAAAAAAAATAGGAAGATAGTTTACTTTGTTTACTAACAAATTTGTGTTAAATCTTGTGGTTATTTTGTTGTCGGCCTCTTTTTTTTTTTATTATATCTTGTGGTTATTTTGGTGTTGGCCTCATTTTTTGTTATATCTTGTTGTTATTTTGGTGTTGGCCTCATTTTTTGTTATATCTTGTTGTTATTTTGGTGTTGGCCTCATTTTTTGTTATATCTTGTGTTTATTTTGGAGTTGGCCTCATTTTTTGTTATATCTTGTTGTTATTTTGGTGTTGGCCTCATTTTTTGTTATATCTTGTTGTTATTTTGGTGTTGGCCTCATTTTTTGTTATATCTTGTTGTTATTTTGGTGTTGGCCTCATTTTTTGTTATATCTTGTTGTTATTTTGGCGTTGGCCTCATTTTTTGTTATATCTTGTGGTTATTTTGGTTTTGGCCTCACTTTTTGTTATATCTTGTTATTATTTTGGCGTTGGCCTCATTTTTTGTTATATTTCGGGTTCTTTTGGTATTGGCCTCATTTTTGTTATATCTTGTGGTTATTTTGGTGTCAGCCACATTTTTGTTATAGCGTGTGGTTAGTGTGGTGTTGGCCTAATATTAGTGAATGTGTGATTGTGTTGTACAACTATATCAATAAATATATACAAATACAATTATGTATCCATTGTTACTCTTGTTCACATAATTTGTATATCCGCACTTACGTTATAGCGAGTCACGCCATCTCTAAGTACCCCATCATTTATATTCATAGAGTCACCATAGGGTCACGCAAAAATAATTAAGAATAGTTCACTGAGCATGCCTCTGTTGATCCCTTAAGAAGAATCAAGGCCCCCCAGTGAAATAATAAAATAATGAACTCAGTGGTGAACCTTGATCAAATACCACCCCGGGGAGATCTAAAATACTGCGCCCCTCACCCCCCCCCCCCCCCCCCCNGTTATAGCGTGTGGTTAGTGTGGTGTTGGCCTAATATTAGTGAATGTGTGATTGTGTTGTACAACTATATCAATAAATATATACAAATACAATTATGTATCCATTGTTACTCTTGTTCACATAATTTGTATATCCGCACTTACGTTATAGCGAGTCACGCCATCTCTAAGTACCCCATCATTTATATTCATAGAGTCACCATAGGGTCACGCAAAAATAATTAAGAATAGTTCACTGAGCATGCCTCTGTTGATCCCTTAAGAAGAATCAAGGCCCCCCAGGGAAATAATAAAATAAGGAACCCAGTGGTGAACCTTGATCAAATACCCCCCCGGGGAGATCTAAAATACTGCGCCCCTCCCCCCCCCCCCCCGACCAATTATCAGTATAATATATTCTATATTCAGTAAAGCATAACTGCTGATAAGTAGTACTGTGTTTAAGTTATTTTTTTAGAAAGAAAAATAGTATTCCTTAACATATGTGTTCAAACTAGACAACGGTAGCTCAAAGACTCCAGTTTGCGAATGAACAAACACACAGACGATACATTTTGGGAATGAACAAACCAAACATTGGATACATTTACGAATCAACAAATCAAACAAATGATTGTAGTCAATGAAAATAGACATAATGGCAGTTGGTCACCCGGTGTGGCAAACTCATCCTGGTATTGTGGAAATCTATTCTATTTCGTTATGTAACTGTCACGGGGGGGGGGGGTTGGGGATGGACCCAGTTAGATTTGCCTTTGTCCATTTGGGTGTCGCCCCCTGTGAGGGTGTCATACTAATGTAAGGGTGTACTCTACACGATTAATCTGTTCGCCTTCTCTCTAGAAGGGAGAGATGTGAAATGTTAAATCACGACCCACTCACAAATTCTAGCCACGCCATTTATCTGGACCCCTTTTCTAGTGGCACATTCGTCTTGTGTTTAAACACTGTCTGGTAGTGGCACGCTGGTCTTGTATCACTATCTGTTAAGAACTCTGTCAAACTTGCAATTTATCATTTGGTTTCGGTCTTGCCTCCCCTCCCCGTAGAGACGCTTATGTACTTAGTTAGCTGCTGGCACATAGCTACGTAAGACCTCGATACTAGCATTTAACTACGTAAGATCTCAATACTAGCACTTAGCTACGTAAGATCTCAATACTATCACTTAGCTACGTAAGACCTCAATACTATCACTTAGCTACGTAAGACCTCGATACTATCAATTAGCTACGTAAGACCTCGATACTAGCATTTAACTACGTAAGATCTCAATACTAGCACTTAGCTACGTAAGATCTCAATACTAGCACTTAGCTACGTAAGATCTCAATACTATCACTTAGCTACGTAAGATCGCAATACTAGCACTTAGCTACGTAAGATCTCAATACTAGCACTTAGCTACGTAAGATCTCAATACTAGCACTTAGCTACGTAAGATCTCAATACTAGCACTTAGCTACGTAAGATCTCAATACTAGCTCTTAGCTACGTAAGAACTCAATACTAGCACTTAGCTACGTAAGATCTCAATACTAGCACTTAGCTACGTAAGATCTCAATTAATAGCACTTCGCGGAGTAAGATCTCATTACCAGCACTTCGCGGAGAAGATGTTTTCTTGGAGATTTTGAAATATGTAGCCAACGTATCGTGTTTGAGCTATGTATGACAGATATATCGCAAATAGTTGTAAATATACATTTGTTTTCTTTCATTTAATTAATGTATTTCAATTTATTTTTTTTATTTTTTTTTTAAATATGTTTGTTAAATTGTATGTACAGCGTGGTGAGCCTATCCCTAGGCTGGAGCACCACGCTATATATAACAACTTATAATAATAATAATAATACTAATAAGCTGATAATTTATTTAATTTAAATGTTATAATTCTCCGTCCTTATGTTGATTCAGCGATATTTTGAGAATTTTTTTTATCAGCGATCTCCCGTTAAATATTGCTACTGCAATCTCACGGAGAAAAAGAAACTAATTACAGTTTATGTGTTTATCTCTTGGAATATCGCAAGTTGTGATGATTATGGTCTTAGGAAGGTGAGATCAAACCATTTTGTTATTACGGTCATTTGGAGATGAGATCAAATCATGTCATTATGAAAGTCATTTATAATTAAAACATTTTAAAACCTAAAACTATAACAATTTAACAAAAGACACCAAAACCCAAAGACACCTAAACCCAAAGACACCTAAACCCAAAGACACCTAAACCCAAAGACACCTAAACCCAAAGACACCTTAACCCAAAGACACCTAAACCAAAAGACACCTAAACCCAAAGACACCTAAACCCAAAGACACCTAAACCCAAAGACACCTAAACCCAAAGACACCTAAACCCAAAGACACCTAAACCCAAAGACACCTAAACCCAAAGACACATAAACCCAAAGACACCTAAACCCAAAGACACCTAACCCCAAAGACACCTAAACCCAAAGACACCTAAACCCAAAGACACCTACACCCAAAGACACCTAAACCCAAAGACACCTAAACCCAAAGACACCTAAACCCAAAGACACCTAAACATAAGACATCTAATCACCACATATTCAAACGCCAGACATCTTAACACAAGACATCAAGAATTTCTTGTTTTTACAAGTGCAAATGGCTCCAAATCGTGAATTCCAAATAAAAAATAAAAAAAATCCAGCTAAAGCTGTTGAAAAAATTTTGGCATAAAAANCCAAAGACACCTAAACCCAAAGACACCTAAACCCAAAGACACCTAAACCCAAAGACACCTAAACCCAAAGACACCTAAACCCAAAGACACCTAAACCCAAAGACACCTAAACCCAAAGACACCTAAACCCAAAGACACCTAAACATAAGACATCTAATCACCACATATTCAAACGCCAGACATCTTAACACAAGACATCAAGAATTTCTTGTTTTTACAAGTGCAAATGGCTCCAAATCGTGAATTCCAAATAAAAAATAAAAAAAATCCAGCTAAAGCTGTTGAAAAAATTTTGGCATAAAAAAACAATGACAGAGACAATTTTAATACATTTTTTTTTAAAAATTAATCAATCAAATAAAGTAATAACTATTTAAACTTGCAGTATACCTTGATGTTGGAAACAATTCCTGTCTGAATCAGAGAGCGTCTCTAAGACTTAACTAATTTCCCAACGTCTGACAGAACACACTGGCTCATCCACATGAGAGTATCCAAGATGATACTATTGTTTACACGTTTATATCCACGCTCATAATAGTGTTTAATATCACGCGCCTTAAGAGAAAATGTACACACGTATAGAAAGGCCTAATACAAATTTCTGTTAAAAGCAAAAATTCACTCAACCATGAACGACCAATCTATGTCCTGAATACCGACTACACTAATCCCTAGGACCGCGATCAAGTGTGCTTAACCCTAAACGGCATTCACTTTCATGCCCCACCCCCACCAAGAAAAGAACAACAACAAAAAAAAAACGGCCCTCCGTGCGTGTGTGTGTGTGTGTGTGGTCAGGTCAGCCAAGTACCGGGACGAGCAAAGCAAATAAATGCCTACGAGTCTAACAATGATTGCGATTTCATTTGCTCGTTAATATATGATCTTTTGTTCAAGTCTCGGTATTTTGTTAGTGACAGCATTCATGCGGGGTAATCCATTAGTTCACCGAATAAATCTAGATCTTTTCACTGCATGCTGCCCCCCCACCCCCCTTTGTGTTGAGAGTGGCACCGAGTCCAGGAGTCTCCTTGTGTAGAGTGTGGCGAACGAGTCCTTTGGTTTCCCTTGTGTGGAGAGGGGGGGGGGGGGGGGGGGGGAGGGGAGGGATTGGTGGTGGGCGGTTGGAGTTGAAAAGAAGGCTCTTGAATTACAAAGTGGCTTTCTTTCGACTCGACCGATTTGTAAGGAAGAGAATTTGCATTTAGATGTCACAAAAATGGATGGACCTAATCTTAGATTAAAGGTTTAGTTTATTGTAAGTGAACTGGAAAGAAAAATTGAGATTGAATCTGGGTAATAAAACTCTATTTAGTTGCGTGGGGGTGGGGGTGTGGAGGGCGGGTCGGTGTGGAGGGTGTGGGGCGGCCAATGCTGGGATCGAGGGTGGACATTAGAATACTTGACTAATAAGTGATGGCGAGAAAATATTTTTTTTTCAACTTTAGAAGAAAATGATATTATTAAGGCATACTTTTTCTGTGGCACCAAAAATAAACAAAGAAAAACAGAAAAATGATCGATCAGAGTGACAGAATATTGATTGAAAGACGAAGCGACCATAGAGGCGAGATTGAATAGACAGCTAGGAGAGTAAATATAGTTATTCATGAGACGATAGTTTGCAGAGAGAGAGAGAAAGAGAGCAATGACACAGGTAGATTAGATATGAGTTTAGATAGATCGATTGGATGTATATTGTTGATAAAATATAAAGATTAGATACAGACATTTTAGAGATTGGAAGGATTCTAGATAGATTTCCATGATATTGGGGGGATTAGATAAATTAGAAAAAATAGTAAAGATACAAGAGACATTAGACAGATGAATATATTAAATAAGGACATGAGATAGATAGATTGATTAGATAGGGACATTGGGTAGAAACTCTCATAATTCATGTCATTTACCAATTCCTATTTTAACACATTTATTTTCTCAAGCTCAGGTAAATATATATTTCTTTGATCCTATGCAGGGTACAGGTGAACTCTATCAATACAGGTGAACTCTATCAATACAGATGAACTCTATCAATACAGGTGAACTCTATCAATACAGGTGAACTCTATCAATACAGGTGAACTCTATCAATACTTATCTCCATCCCTCTGATTTATATAGGCATCCTATTTTACTTTCCGTCATCTGCTGACCCCAATTCGGCTGCACTGCGCTACGAGGCTGTGGCTTGCCAAAAAATGGTCTCCCTTTGACCTCGGTTACCACTAATTAATCTGTAGCCTGTTTATTATAAGAACTCCGTAGAATATTGTAGAAGCGGCGGGAGCATTTACGATGCGTATTCTGTTCTCGAAAATTCTAAGAAAACGGCTATACAAAGACGACAGATTGATTCACCGGAGAAGACAGCAGACGCCAGACGAGAGATTTATGAGAGTGTGTTATTCTTGCTATAGAGCTTTGTTTACTGCATGATGTGTAGATTCCTATTCGTCATTACACCTTTTGCCACATTGTGTTTTTCTTCAACGTTGTACCGGTACCAGTAAAACAGCATTCTGTAAGTCAATGATTTTAATTATATTTCTTTTTTATTTTTCATTTTATAATTAACATACTAAAACGTATTAATTATAATTAGCCCTGGTATAAGTAGAGTATTGTTTGTTATTGTATTCATCATTTGTGTCGTCTTTTGTTATGTACTGTGTTAGAATGGGCCATACATGTAAACAAGAGATTGATTTCTCCACACTGACCGCAGTGTGTGACACGCTGTTTAGCTTTTACTAAGCTTGTTATGAAAACAAAACCAAACCCCCCCCCCCCCCCAAAAAGCATTCTTTCCAAGTACTGTGTTGTTGAGGTCTGAAGACAATTTGTTACATTGTGCTGTGTTGGTGTCTTGGAAGGAGGTCGTGAGGGGAGGGGGGCAGAGTGCTGTGAACAGCTTTGAGATGTTTGTTGTTTCATTTCATCCTCAGCCCAGCCTAAACTGCTAATGTTCGGCCTTGACAGCGAAGATGACCGCGACTTGAGTAGAAGCCTTGCCTGGAGCCTTATTTTGTTTAAAGAAAGGGAGGGTTGCTCAATTCGTCGAGCTCACTCTCTCGTCCTTGCGTGTTTCATCTAAAGGAGGTAGACCGTGATACAGTTCATAACCAGCCGTGTGAGAGTGTGTGTTTCACTGTGCCCTGTATGCATTCTACGTCGCAGGAGTTGTCAGACATTTTCATTGTTTTAGCTTCATCATCGGGTTGAAATTAGATTTTTCCTTAAAGGTTAGCGGGTCCCATACACCCGGTGAAATGAAAAAGGGGGGGGGGGAACTGGTAATGTTTTTGCTTGGGATTGAACGCGAGTCCACTCGTTAGCTCGGGATTCACTCAGTTTAGATTCACCCCCCACCCCGGGTCATCCAGCCATTCAGCTAAAACTAACTGCAACAAAAGAATTCTAACTAAGATGAACTTTTGTTTACAATATTTTCTTCACTTGAGTGTTTCGGTCATGCATGATAAAATAGAAACACAAGATTACAGTATTGAAATCAATCAAACACGAACTTATTTATGTTATAGAACAGTTATAAAACATTCTTGTATTTGTTTTGAAGATTTCTTAAAACAAAAACCACACATACATATTTCATTGATTATTTTATGTTTTCAATATTATTTTTTTTTTAAATGTTGTTGTTGCAAATGAAAGCAAGCTTACAAAGATCGATGAAAACCAATCATGCGAGACATTTCCTCGACCACAACACGGGGATGGTTTTTGGTGTTGTTTTTTTTAAAAATGACCATAATCTATTAATAGAATACTGTACCAAATTTAAATAAAGAATTCTTCGATAAAGACCAAAGTTGCTTTCGTCAGTATATCAAAAAAAACCTTTATAAAGTTTAGGTCTACATACCCAGACATAATCACAGACACAGACATAATCACAGACACAATACAAAACATCAAGAAAAAGAAGGAAAATTAGAGCACGTGACAGATTATTCCTTAATGCCCCACCCCTTAAAATCCACCCACCCCCTTTTTTTTTAATTGCCCCTCCCCCGTGGCAATAAATAAAAAGATTATATGCATGAAAATTGACAAAAACTAAATTTTGACAATAAGCATTGAATATTGAGACAAGGCCAGTAGAGGACAAGCGGTATCGATGCAGTCAAGTCTCCACTGCTTCTCGCTGACGACTGCTCTATGAAGTTTTGGCGTCGACCTAGTTTGGGGTCTTAAATTGATAGCGTTTTTTTGTTGTTTTTTAAAGAAGATTTTTAATATAGCCTGGAGCGATGGAAAAAAAAATCTTTACTCGAGGTCCAAGAACTTGGTCTGTGAGCCAGTGTAGGTGGGATCGAACCCTTTTGAGTTAGCCTGAGGACGGAAATAACAATGTTATGACAGCAGATGTAGCAGTCAATGTCTTTGAGATTATAAATAACACATCATCCAAAATGGCAAATAGGATTCCATGTCGAGATAGCAGTGTGCCTTTAGTCATTGAGGCTATTTATAAAAAAAAGTTTGTTGTCTATTGACGTCATGTGTATCTGCTACAGGACGATAGATTTTAACTCATTTTTGTTTTACATGTATTTTAAAGAATAATAAGCAATTACATATTTTGAAACCAGCTGAGCGCCCATAAGACATCGCTACTCCTTGAATTTTTATTTCAAAGTCCTAACATCGGTGATTGTCTTTGTTGGTCGTCACTTTGTCTCCCTTAGCTTTTGGAGTGAGACTGTCTAAGGGGAGGGGGGGGGCTTCACTTTTAACAATGTACGGTCAAACTGAGCAAAGTTACAAATCATTACTGATGTTGTTTGTTGGATTTATGTAACCAAGAAGACTCACCAAGAATCCAAGACTGTGAATGCAGTTGATGACGTTGAGGAAGGGTCCCTTGCGGCCTTCCCACAAATCAGTGCTCTGTGGAGAGACAGGCGAGCTAAATGTTACTATACAAATATAATGAGCATTAACAAAAAATAACAATCCATTGATCCCACATTATGAAGTGGAAACTAAGGATTGGATAAATACCGGTAATGGCTTTTTAATGGCTTTTTAAAGTGGCTTTTATAATGGCTTTTATAATGACCTTTATAATGGCTTTTATAATGCCTTTTATAAATAATGACTTTTATAATGGCTTTTATAATGGCTTTTACAATGGCTTTTATAATGGTTTTATAATGGCTTTTATAATAACTTTTATAATGGCTTTTATAATGGCTTTAATAATGAATTTTATTTGCAATTGTTATGATACAAATGTTTTTTATGTGGAAGCAAAATCTTAAAAACGGGAAAATATGAGCTGATTTTTGTTTCGGGCACTTGTTCATGAACAAAATGACATTCCAGACAATTTAACCTTATACGAATGGACTTCATTATATCCATAGTGATTATATTCCATTCCAGATAATTCTTTGTCTCTGACGAAGGCGTTCTTCCGACACGTTCGTTATTTTGTTGCGTTCGTTCTTTCAGGTTTCAACTTACTTTGTTTTATCTCATTTCCTATTTTGCTAACCTGACTGCAGTCTCTCCCCTTATTACCCTTGTATAGTTAGGCGAGACCTTACCTGGCACAGAAATTCTTTGCTAAGTCCATAGTCTGTGCAGCCTTTGTTGAAGGCTTCGATGTTGCCCATGGCAACGAAAGGGGAGGCTACTTTCTTCTGGAAGCTGACCTTTGGCTTTCCCTCTGAGGCGAGCAGCTTGTTGATAAGTCTGTGAAAATGACATAACACGTGATCAACCCATCTGGCCGTGAAGGGAAGGGGGGGGGGGAGGCAATACATATCAATTCAATTGCCATCACATTAGCTCCAGGATATTATTAGCTCCAACACTTTGCATTAAGCAAAAATTAAAACATTTTGACACTGAAGTTAATTAAATGTGTTGAAAGTTTATTATTTTTTTTTTTTTCAGGAATGATGCTTTAAAATTCTTATGTATGCGTTGTTTTTTGTGTGAGACCTGTACATGAACTATCCAGGTCAATTATCTGGGTCAACTATCTGGGTCAATTATCTGGGTCAATTATCTGGGTCAACTATCTGGGGAAGCTGTTACTGCCAGTGAGTATTTATTCGTTGAATAAATTGTTTCATACCGGAACGCTTAACAATCTACATCACACGCTGATTCGAAGGGACTAATCAAATTATTATTATTATTATATTTATAATTATTATATAGATACTAGTTATTATTATTAACTTTATTATTATGATACTACTATTATTTCTGTTTTATTTAGTATTTTGGTCCATTCCGACAGTTAATTTAGAATAATTTAGATGAATACTAAAAGTACTAAGTCATGTTCCAGATTTTAGAAAATATTATCAGCTACCCATGTATCTCTTAATCAAGGAAGAATAAATTGTTCAAAATATCCCCCTTTTTTGTTTCACTTCTTTGACCATAATTACTGAAGAGCGATCAGAACCGTGCTAAATTTCAAATCTAATGTTTTAAATTAAAATATTTTTTTTTTATTTGCAAAGCTATATCAATAATGCATGCCGTCTTCTAAAGACATTAGCGCCACAGACATGACATACGTGTTGAAAACATAAACATATCTTACGTAGACACTCAAAGCGTTACCACCGAGCGTTCAGTTAAGAGCCGTGAGTGTGGGTGCAAGCAGACACAACGATGATGGGCTGTGAAAGCAGAGATGTTGCCCATGTGATTGCAGATATCGTGCACGTTTATACAGAACAAAATAAAATAATCTAAAGCATTAATTGATGAAATAGAAAGCAAACAAAATTAAAAAAAAAAATATCAGCCAAAAGGGGTTGATTGTTCGCAGAATATCTGGCAAAAGGGGTTGAGTGTTCGCAGAATATCTGCCAAAAGGGGTTGAGTGTTGGCAGAATATCCGCCAAAAGTGGTTGAGTGTTGGCAGAATATCTGCCAAAAGTGGTTGAGTGTTGGCAGAATATCTGCCAAAAGTGGTTGAGTGTTCGCAGAATATCTGCCAAAAGTGGTTGAGTGTTCGCAGAATATCTGCCAAAAAAGGTTGAGTGTTCGCAGAATATCTGCCAAAAGTGGTTGAGTGTTCGCAGAATATCTGCCAAAAGTGGTTGAGTGTTCGCAGAATATCTGCCAAAAGTGGTTGAGTGTTCGCAGAATATCTGCCAAAAGTGGTTGAGTGTTCGCAGAATATCTGCCAAAAGTGGTTGAGTGTTCGCATTAGTTTCTGTTAAAAAACGCAAGCGGCTCTGTGAGATTCGAATAGAGCCAAGTCATGTAATTAACAACCAAAATAAAACAAAGAGTATCAATCATTACAGTAATTCTTAGTTCTTACTCCAGGAAATAATTACTATGTCATTTAAAAACAAATTTTTTTAAATTACCCTTTTTTTTTCAACACTCCAAAAGAATGGTCGAATGAAATAGTCTTGTACTTTGATGTGAAATCAGCATTTTAACTGATTGAAGAATTAGTATGTTAAGTAGCTTAAGTGATCTGTAGCTGAAAGCGATTAGGTATCTCATTCAAAGGCAGGCTGTGAAACAAAGACAATGATTACAGAACAAAAGTTAAGCCTGATCGTGTCTAAAGTGAAGCGAGTGGAACATGGAAAGGCAGCTGCTCTGCCTAGATGAATTGTCTGATGAATTTTATTTTAGAAATTCATGCTGTTATAAAGAAATGGACTTTGTTTGTTTGTTTACATTTCTTGCAAGCCATGCTGATAGGTCAAGGGTTAAATGTGACAGGTCAAAACTTACTTGCACAGCATAACACCGTCTCTCAAACACCTGTGCAATTCCTTTTGGGATTGGTTGGCCTGGGGAAAACAGGTCAAGGATAAGGTGGGGTTAATATGGTGTCGGAAATGCAAGGGGAGAAAACCAACAACTATGCTACAAGAGTTAATGATATGTGGTCACCTAAGTAAACCAGCAAACGTATGGTCAACTTATGTTCAAGCCTAAGGTCAACTAGACTACCCGTGTCCAAAAATATATCGTGACCTGGTCACGCTATTTCCAAACGTGTCGGTATCTGGTCAATACTGATCTAATGTTGTAAGTATGATCCAACTGTTACTCCATTGGTTCATTTCGAAAAGCTTTTTGATTCAGATTGAAGAGGATTTTGTGAAATAACAGAAAGAAAAAGTAAGCCTTACGAGAAAAAGACATTTATTTGTTGTCAGGCAATTAAATCCCGTGAATGAATGCACATTGATTTGAATTAAATGTCTTCTGACAATGTTTGAAGTTTGAGTATTTTAAGCGATTTTTACATCTTTAAAATGTTTAAACTCATTTTTAGAGTTATCAACTTTAGGGAAACTAAGAACTTGTAAGGGAGCTAAACTACAATAGATTCAACATTAAAGGATATGTAACAATTAAACTCTTTACCTCCCTTTAAATAAAATTACAAGAGTTTCACGTGCGTATAAAGGAAATTATATATGCGAACTACTGAAACGTGAAGAAAGGAAAACAAATAAATCAATGGACACAAAGTGCAGACAAGTTGGGAGATATGTTAAGTCAAAAAAAAAGTGTTAGGCCTACAATAATAAATGAGTTTGTGGGCGATGTCTGTACTATCTTTCATTATTAGCCTCATCGAAAATAAGATCTACAGCTTTACCAATATTTTATCTACAAAATACCACCAGAATGAGCAGATGACCCATCGATTCCCCCCCCCCCAAGTCCCTGGACGCAATACAACTTACAATTGATTCATGTTCCCCGGCTGTGATGGCGTTAATCCACACCAAGATGGCGTTTTCTGTACTATCTTTCCTTATTAGCCTCATCGAAAATAAGATCTACAGCTTTACCATAATTTTATCTACAAAATACCACCAGAAAGAGGCGATCACCCACCGATTCCCGCTCCCCCCAAGTCCCTGGACGCAATACAACTTACAATTGATTCATGTTCCCCGGCTGTGATGGCGTTAATCCACACCAAGATGGCGTTCATGGTGCCTGCTGCTTCTTCCTGGTCATATCTCTGTGGACGCAAATTTGGCGTTAGAGATCAAACTTCGGAAACATGTAAAAAGGTTAAGACAATCAAATGTGACATTCTTTACTAACACCGATTTATTTGGTTAACTTTGTCATGTCAAGAAGTTTCTTAAAAGATTGACACAATATTTAACGATGTCTACATATTATAAATCCATCGTCCTAAGTCGAATAATAAATTAACATCTCATTAATATTTTATATAATCTCATTTTAATTCTCTTTTTTTGTTGTTGTTGTTTAAATGACCAACAGGCATTACTTTCAATCTAACACGGACTCACCAATTCCAATTTCTTCTCAATCTCAGCTCCAATGCCAGATTTCTTAGCCCTGTCTGCCATTTTGTTTGTTCAAGACTAGTGACTGGAATGACAACTGTTGATAAAAAAAAACAGGAAACACATGAACTCATTTAGATCTGTCAAAGAAATGTCAATGAATACATTTCTTGGTGCAAAGCTATCAAACACTCAAGATAGCTGCAAACACTTCAAAGATTTGGAAAGAGCTGCTGCAACATGAACACAAATATACACCACACACTGAAGTCTAAAGACTGGGTATTCATCATGGTCATTGAGATACGTTTTTTAATATAGAACGAAATGAAACAGAAATAATTTGAAGGAAAATATTCAGAAACAATACACATAAAAATGCATATGATGTCTTGGAGTTTTCTACTAGTCAGGTCCGTCAGTATGAACAGAGTTGTCTGCCTAACTAAGAGGTCAACAGTGAAACAAAGCCCAGTTGGTTTTGTTTCATCCAGTGTTTGGGAAATCACGACGACACAAACCATCTTTGGCGGTACACACTGAAGTAAGATTGATAGGAGCGAAGCAATACAAAACTATAGACACTTTATGCAAAGAAACAACAGATAGAACACTAGACTAGTTCGTGGCGTACAAGTAAAATTTACATTTAAAAGGATTTCAATTTTTTTTTCTAAAGTAAAATAAATTCAATTGTGGAAAGATGAAAACAAGAACTAAATAATTATTGGAACCAAATATGCTTAAATGAAAGTCACATAAAGAACACTGTTCTTATATAAATGAAAGTAATATAAAGAGCACTGTTCTTATATAAATGAAAGTCACAGATAGAACACTGTTCTTATATAAACGAAAGTAATATAAAGAACACTGTTCTTATATAAATGACAGCAACATTAAGAACAATGTACTTATATAAATGAAAGTAACATAAAGAACAATGTTCTTATATAAATGAAAGTCACTGATAGAACACTGTTCTTTAATAAATGAAAATCACAGATAGAACACTGTTCTTATATAAATGAAAGAAACATTCTTATATAAATGAAAGTAACATAAAGAAGACTGTATCAGATAGAACACTGTTCTCATATAAGTGAAAGTAACACAAAGAACACTGTTCTTATATAAATGAAAGCCACAGAAAGGTAACATGGCGCGCAAGGTCTCGTTGACAATTAGTTCGAAATATAACACTGTGGACCTACAGACCACGTCCATTGAGAACTCAGAGAAACGAAGCGAAACGTTACCCAACTAGACGAGGGTGATCCACTTTTATGACCTGGATCTAGTTTTAATGAACTTTGATTAGTACCAATTTAAACATATATAGATATCTGTCCTACATCAGGCCTCTGCGGCATTAAAAAGTTTCAAAAACAATTTTATTGAAAGGTAACATTTTTTTTTTTTTTTTTTTTTTTGGGGGGGGGGGGGGGTTAGTGACTCCATAAATGAATTGTAACTGCGTTACAAAAAAATCTTGGTAAAAAAAAATGAACTTGTCTGTGAAATAATTCAATTGGGCTGACTCGTAAGAACTGACACAAAACATTTGGTATTGACACTACGAAATTCAATTATTATTATTGATCTTCCATGACAACAGGATCAATGTAAAGTTATACAAATAAAATAAAAATGAATCAAATGATAATCTGACCAACAGTAATGCTAGAAATCACTTCCGATATGCTACGGACATTACTTTTCTAAACGTGAAGACACCCGGGAGCTTACCCTCAGCTCAGCAGAATCACAACACGGGATGGCGAAATGTGCTCACCGGGCAAAACAGTGAGGTGAATTCATCACACAACTATTTCTTATCAAGCCTTTACCTTCCCTTCACCTGCCTTTCCGAGCACTCATTTCCCGTCGCCTGTTCTATTTATAGAAGGAAACACGGAGTCTTCAGATCAAAAACAGAACCGGCACATTCCTTGGGGAATTGGGGGGGGGGGAGAGGAGCAGGTAGGTTGGGGTAGGTCGGAGTGGTGGGACATGTGTGAGCAGTATTTCACTAGAATCAGTGAAATGACCTGTTCCTCAACAAGCCGTGTGTTCCAGAGTTGACTTCCTCAACAGTTACCTGTAGATGTTGCTCTTCTTTTCGTGAAATACTTTTCTTATTTATTTTTTTAAACCATCAGTTCTAAATGTGTTTTTCTTCCGATTTAAAATACCCAGAAGCCAGAACAGCTCAGTGTCCAACGGAAAACGGAAAAGTCAAAGGCATGGCAATTAAAATTTAAAAAAAAAAAAAAGAAAAACAATTTGCCTTACACACAGACGGTAATTTTAATTCGAGTAATTCACTCATTTGGTGAATAACATTTTCAGTTAGATAATTTTACGCAGTCTTTAAAATAACTTTTTTTCTCCAAAAAATTTGAAAAGCACGATTACAAAAATTGTATACACCGAGCTGAATCTTTGGATACCAAAACATCGCTAGAGATTTGAACCGAAAACAGCATAAGCGCCATAGATGGAAACATGGATAGTTCCAGACATGTTACGCAAATATACCCAACATAATATACGAAAGTTGTTAAGTACTTGGGTGCAATGCTTATCAGTTATGAATTATTTATGCTTATCATTTATACGTCTTTGTTGTAGATGAAAAGCTGACTCAGGGGAAAAGGCATGTTAGAAAACTAAAAGTGGAAGAATACAAATTAATCACATGTTCTTACACAAGAAAATATTACACATCTAAATGTATCCATTGGTGTAATATGACGTGTTATGTATGATGCGTGGATACTTTGTTAGTATGTTGCATTTAGAGATGGAACCAATAATGTGGCAAACGCATAAGTGGCTCAAAGAAGTATCCACATGATTTGTGAATGCTGGCGACGATGTCATATACATAATATAATGATTTACAAACTTAAAAAAATTTTTTAAAAATTAAATAAAAATGCAAAACAAAATAAAAAGCGATTGGGTTTGAAGACTTGCTATAAGAGTGTGTTAAAGACTTGCTATAAGAGTGTGTTAAAGACTTGCTATAAGAGTGTGTTAAAGACTTGCTATAAGAGTGTGTTAAAGACTTGCTATAAGAGTGTGTTAAAGACTTGCTATAAGAGTGTGTTAAAGACTTNTCGTCTTTAGCAGCATGCCCATAGATAACATGAACGTTACGGTGACAGTTTCGGCATGTATAGGCACCGCTGCTTTATTTTAAGTAGAGACAACAAACAGCAGAAGTGGAAGGCTCTTCGGTAACCTTGCTGTCACAATCAGTTTTGTTTCCTCCATTATTGGTTGCATTCTCTTCAGTATCCTGTGAAGTAGGCTCTGTATCTTGCCTCTAGTGATTTGCTCCTTCCTGCTGTGTTGTTTGTATGCTTTCTATTACATTCTCCATTTCAATCTCAGTCTCTTTATCTTGCAAAACGCCAGACGGTAGGGAAGACGTTGCGAGGCCCAATTTAGCTTTGCAGCAAAATAGAGCTTTATGAGGGGTTTTATTAATCCCAGAATGGAAAGCCCTGTTCTTTATAAGTTGGACGAAGTGTAATTTTTCAGTCAAGATGTCAGTTTTTTCATCTTGCATCCAAGCACATAGCATGTTTTCGATGTCTTGATAAGCTCTTTCGACATTTCCCTGGCTTTGTGAGTGGCGCTGTTACCATGGACGATCTTCAACCTCAGCCAATAATCACATAGGTTGTTCACCGTATTTTTGGAAAATTCTCGACCATTATCGGACTGTAGAATCAATGGAGCTCCAAGCGATGTAAATATGTCTTCAAGTTTGTAGGCTAAGTGGTCAGTCATTTGCAGATCTAGAATAATTTGATCAACTTAAAAAAAAAAAATGATTACTAGAACTTTTCAAGTTAACTAATTTTTTGATGTTTCAATGATTCTCGAAAGATATGCAAAATTTCAGTTGACATTTTGTTCACTTTAATGAACCACTGTACGAGAATAGTTATCTTTATGTCTGCCTCTAATAAAGCTTGTTAGTTTAGCCAAATATGGAATAATGTAGTACGTTTAAAGGTTGAGGTATAGAAGAGACTGGAAAATATACTGAGAGATATCATGTTCTTACCAATGGCGTACCAAGGGTTAGCGCCACGAGGGGCGGGCAAAGATTCTTCTGTACCCACTTCCAAAAAAAAATAATTCTACAGTTGGCCGAAAACGGCATCCCTCATTTGTGAAGAAATAAAATTGCCACCTGGGGGTGGCCAGCCCTCCTTCCACATTCCCCATCCTATGCCACTGGTTCTAATGAATTATGTCAACGAAATATTTTACCCAAGAATGCTAATGTCTATGGCAGTAAGGTAATTTAAAATATCAAAGCTGGCCAATGACTTCCGTTAAGTCAGCAGATTTTGTATTCTCACGTACCTGTGAAAGGTGGGTAACAGCAGTGTTTACCTGAAGGTCCAACTCTACTGAATCATAAAACCCAGTTTTTTTGTTTTTTTTGGGGTGGGGGGGGGGAGGCACTTTCAGTTCATAAAACTTTTAACAATAAAATCTCTACCGAGCTAAACAAACGTGCACTTTCTTCTTCCCAACGCACCATCACAAACACATACACACAATCACAACCACACACACTAACAAGAATTAGTCATAGACAGTAATTGGCGTTCCCCCCCCCCCCCCCCCACACCCCCCCCCAACTCCCCCCACCCCCCCCCCACCCCACCCCCCCACGTCAACCCCTCCCAAATCTCTCAACTCTCGCTGCTAGCCTCCTCACTACGGTACCTTGCCTGAAAGGTGTATCATCTAAACACACCTGTCTGCTGAAACCATACGAGGCATGTCCCACCCCACCCCCACACACAGACCCATTTTAAAGCTACGTAGAGATCAGAACTGGGTCACTTTCTTACTCACCTGGAAGTTGAAGTTATAATTTTATGTTTGACGTCTTCACATGATTACCAGACCCATTTAGGGAGAGATTCATTGAAATATTTCACTTAACATATTGATTGCTTCATTGAAATGTTTTAGTAAACTGCTCCCATCCCAACAAAGTACTGGTTTAATTAAGCTTCAATATTAGATTTACGATATAGGCCTCTATGCACTGCATCAAAGTGATATGTCAAAATTTTTCATTAGCCCACAATCTCGAGCCTGTGTTCACAACCCACAATCTCCATCATGTGTTCACAAGCCCACAATCCCCATCATGATTTCACAAGCCCACAATCTCCAGCATATGGTCACAAGCCAACAATCCGCAGCATGTGTTCACAAGCCCAAAATCTCCAACATGTGTTCACAAGCCCACAATCTCCAGCGTGTGTTCACAAGCCCACAATCTCCAGCATGTGTTCACAAGCCCACAATCTCCAGCATGTGTTCACAAGCCCACAATCTCCAGCATGTGTTCACAAGCCCACAATCTCCAGCATGTGTTCACAAGCCCACAATCCCCAGCATGTGTTCACAAGCCCACAATCTCCAGCATGTGTTCACAAGCCCACAATCTCCAGCGTGTGTTCACAAGCCCACAATCTCCAGCATGTGTTCTCAAGCCCACATTCTCCAGCATGTCTTCACAAGCCCACAATCTCCAGCGTGTGTTCACAAGCCCACATTCTAAAGCATGTGTTCACAAGCCCACAATCTCCAGCATATGTTCACAAGCCCACATTCTCCAGACGGTGTTCACAAGCCCACATTCTCCATCGTGTGTTCACAAGCCCACATTCTCCAGCATGTCTTCACAAGCGCACATTCTCCAGCATGTCTTCACAAGCCCACATTCTCCAGCATGTCTTCACAAGCCCACATTCTCCAGCATGTGTTCACAAGCCCACATTCTCCAGCATGTGTTAACAATTCCACAATCTCCAGCATAGATCCCTCGTCATTGGAAGTTTAAGAGATTTAAAAAAAACATAACTCAACACGTATGGAATGTTTGTTCTCCTGTAAAACTGATAGCCCTAACGTCAGACAGCCGTCAACAAGCTCAGTCTATTTAGAGCGACTCTCTTTTGATAAACACGGAAGGGAAACCTTGTCTTGCATTTCTAAAAATCGCGAAGAACATAGATTAAGTAGAATAAGGTTTACATTCAATCTTTCAATCTGCGCCCTGGAAGAGATGCGATTGTTTGTTAAAGAGCACTGGGTATTTTTTTTATAAATTGCTCTCTAGACATTTAAGTTTTTTTTTTGTGGTATGTTTCTCCGACTTTTTAATCTAGAAATGATTCTCTTACGTTAAGCAGTAATTGAAGGCAATCCTGGCGCTAAATTGCATGTAAAAAATAAGTTATTGCTTAAGATATTCTGAAAATTAAAGAAGACAGTAGCGGAAACTTCAAGAGCAAAGAACAGAAGTAAATTGATAATTTCTATGCACGAGCGATCAGCCAAACCAGTCTAATTGTGTTTTGTTCTCTCTTCAAAATCACATTTTTGAGCATCCAAACACTATTTTGTGGGCGAAAAATTTCATAAAACAAAATATAACCCAAAAGAAATTATTTATTATCCTTCTTAAGAAAAAAAGAAAAAAAGCTGTAAGCAGAGCTGGTTTAATTGGCGCCACAATAGGTTATTCGCTCAAAAAACGGCAGAAAACCTATTAAACTCATGGGAGAGAAAAGTTCTGTGGGAAAGATACGGACCAACTAAGGATGAATATCGATGGAGAATACAAGCCAACCATGAATTGTACAGTCTGCATCAGGACAGTGGTGTAGCGAGGGTGTTTGGCGCCCGGGGACAAGATCCATTTTAAAGCGCCCCCTTTTCTTTTTTTCAACTCTCAAACCAATTATTTTTACCAATACTATTATATCAAATCACATTTTGGCGCCCCTAACTAGCTTGCGCCAGGGGACATCTGTCCCCCCTGCCCCCTGCCTCCCCCCCCCCATCGCTACGCCTCTCCATCAGGATCCTACGCTAGTGTCAGAAAAAAAGAAAAAAGAGCAGGCTACATACGCTGGGCGGGAAACTTAGAAAGAAAGCCAAATGACAGTGGAGTGAAGAGGGTGCACCACCAAAACTCCAGAGGAAAACGGCTCAAAGTAGATCTAGGACGATGGAGAAATCTGGGCAGCCAGGCATGTGAAAGAAAAGCATTAGTTAGGTCTGAGTGGAGGGAAGTGGTGAGGCAGGCCGAAGCCCTACAGGGGCTGTAGCGCCACAGGGATGGATGATCGTTGTCAGAACTGGTCTACATGGAGCCAAAATAGGTTATTATTTCCTTGACTTTCGTGTCTCGGGGCTTTATATTTTATGTGGCATAATTATCTTAATTTGGAAATAACCCTTGATTATTTAAACTTGAACTAATCACAGACACCAATAAACAGTTTTAAATTGATGGTACACAACTTCTAAAAGTTCAGCAAACTTTCATTTTTCATATAAAACGGGGGGAAGAGGGGGGCATTTAAAAAAAATAAATGATTTATGTATCATTTTTTTTTAAAATGTCGTATATGTACACAGGCCTGATGAAGTTACAACAATTAATGTTCCTAACACCATTTTATTCACCTTCTTTAAAGACAGGATGCACTACTCCAATCGTGCTGTCAACTCTTATTTAAATGTACTAATATATTAATCTTATTCGTAGAAAAAAAACAACAACATTTCTTTGGTGTAGTGAAAATCGTTCTGAACGTAAAGGGGCAGAGTTCGCTTACTTGCAGGCAGGTAAACAAAACAACGCCTGAATTTCGCTGCGTCGGCATCGCACCAACCATGCACCCCAGCTCTGGCAGGTTGCCATAAACTATTTGAAAAACAAACAACTGCCTGGGGAACCTATGATAACAATCAGACGTGTCCATTAATTAGCTTTGTTTTTATACAGCGCGCACACATCTCGTCCATTGTGATTTATAAATAGCAAGGATCATTGTGAAGAATGACTTGTATTTTATTTGTCGAACTTGTCAATTGAACCCATAGAATCTTTTTCGTCTGCTGTTTTCATCATCCTTTTCGTCTGCTGTTTTCATCATCCTTTTCGTCTACTGTTTTCATCATCCTTTTCGTCTGCTGTTTTCATCATCCTTTTCGTCTGCTGTTTTCATCATCCTTTTCGTCTGCTGTTTTCATCATCCTTTTCGTCTGCTGTTTTCATCATCCTTTTCGTCTGCTGTTTTCATCATCCTTTTCGTCTACTGTTTTCATCATCCTTTTCGTCTGCTGTTTTCATCATCCTTTTCGTGTACTGTTTTCATCATCCCTTTCGTCAGCTGTTTTCATCATCTCTTTCGTCTGCTGTTTTCATCATCCTTTTCGTCTGCTGTTTTCACCATCCTTTTCGTCTGCTGTTTTCATCATCCTTTTCGTCTGCTGTTTTCACCATCCTTTTCGTCTGCTGTTTTCAACATCCTTTTAGTCTTACCGGGTTTAAATCAGATAACGGGTCAGTTAGAAATGAAAAACGTGTATTTTGTCTCAGAGTTAGTTTATATAAGTGCTGCTAATAAACGGAATAATAAAACACATGTTTTATGACATTTTTGGGGGGATTTTGAAAGGCTGAAAATAATAGACTTAAATCTCCAAAGCACGGGAGACATCCGGTACTTGAATGCTAGTAGCACGGCCTCGAGATTTAACTGCGTAATGTACTCAAGGGTATTACGGTAACACTGTCGGAATATTGGATACCACACAGAGACCAAGTTGGACATTGTCGTTGTATGCAATCTGGGTTTTCAATGGTAGCTACCCCATGCCAGATTAGCGATTCTCACATGAAGAAACACAACCTCAGCCATGTTTTTAAAACGTAAGCCATGTTAGCGATATTAGCAATTAATCATATAATTCATACTTCTAGTAGAATATTTCAGGCTCTGCTTTTAACGTAACTCACGCTGTCACAACGCCCACTAGTATCAAAATGTAAAACATCAATCAATTAAGCCTTAAAATAACGTTGTTGTCAGAAAACTCGAAGGTACAGTTGTTTGCATTCTTTTTTGTTAAGTTGTATGCTATGTTCATATGAGTATATTGATCATATATTTAGGTTATAAAATGCATGCTCTAAAGCAGGCCTGCACAACATAAGGCCCGCAGGCCATATGAGGCCCGCTAGCACCCACTTTGTAGCCAGCGAAGTAATAAAATATTCTTTATTCTCATTACTTTCTGTCTTCTTCTTCTTCTTTATTTTAAGGACCCACGATCAATGAATTGATCATTCTGGCTCCTCATTCTTAATAGCTTACCCCCTGTCCTATTTTCTTTTGGCCCGCAAAAGTTTTTCGTAAAGTATTACGGCCCGCCTTACAGTTTGAGTTGTGCAGGCCTGCTCTAAAGGGTAATCTTGCTGTTCACTTTATCATAAGCACTCCGTAGGTGATTTCATAAAATCATCACGCAACGTTAACAGACAAATGTAAAGAACAATTTTTGGACATTTAGCATAAGAAACTATAATGTGTGGCTTACAAAGACATTTAGAAATAAGACCATATAATTTGTGGCCTACTAAGACATTGAGAATAAGACAATATAATGTGTGGCCTACTATGAAATTTATAATAAGACAATATAATGCGTGGCCTACTATGAAATTTATAATAAGACAATATAATGTGTGGCCTACTATGAAATTTATAATAAGACAATATAATGTGTGGCCTACAAAGACATTTAGAATAAGACAATATAATATTTCGCCTACAAAGACTTTGAGAGTAAGAAACTATAATTTTGATTAAATACACTTTTTTTGTCACTTTCAATATTGCTGTGATTGCCAGACACTAGAAGTTTTCATTGATCAGCTTGCATTTGATTTCCGTGTGATTGTAAATCGGACTGTCTTCGATAATTTCAACATGAAGCTTAATAATTAAGGGTTCAGAAGCTTTAGCAATGGGAGTCCCTGATAAATAAGTTAAGATCAGTAGTTTCACTTGTATCAATCAATAAATTAATTACTAGATTTTACGGATTAGTCATTTTTATTCTTAAAAATAATTATTCATGAACATAAGAATGTTTTAAATCCTGATATGTTGAAGTTGGTATGTTACGGGAAGTTAATATGTTAGTGGAAGCGGATATGTTCCTGGAAGTTGATATTTTTCTGGAGGTTGATATCCTACTGAAGTTGATATGTTACCGGAAGTTGACATACTACTGAAAGTTGATATTTCACTGGAAGGTATTATGTTACGGAAAGTTAATATGTTACTGGAAGCTGATATGTTCCTGGAAGTTGATATTTTACTGGAAGTTGATAAGCTACTGAAGTTGATATGTTACTGGAAGTTGATATGTTACTGGAAGATGATACGTTACTGGAAGATAATATTTGATTTTTAGAATTAAAAAAACATTCATCAACACTCATCTAAAACAAAAAAAAGACGGGATGGGGCTAGGGGCGTGCTTGTGCCATTCTGGTATTGAATGGCCTTAAAGTTCATGTAAATGACGTCAGGACACGGTCCCGGGAGAGCTACATACTTAATGAAAGAAGAGACACACGTGAAGTAGCAATCGACTCACCTAAAGATGAAAATATCTCGTCTGCCGATGGTTGACGATGAGGGAATGAGGTGAGCCAGGTCCGGGTAGCCGTTATAAAGTAACAGACAAGAGGAGGTAACTCTCATTAGCGTTCCGCCGCCGGCTTGGAGTGGGCGTCACTCCGCGAGGATGGGATTCCGGAGCGTTGAGAGTACCCGGACTTGAAAGAAATAAGTAATGATTACGGGCCTTGAGAAGTTAAAGTTATCTTTAAAATAAAAAAAAAAATTATATATCTCAATCTATTTGAACACTAAGTCAATGGCGGATCACGTCTTTACACACACCGCCTTTTAGACATGCTATCATGTAGGTAACAGGTTCACAACGCTTTGGGAGTCACGACCCCTTGTTATAGAAGAAAAGTCTCATGTTCAGGCCACGCTACATAAAATGAGATGATACAGTAAAAGAAAAAAAACAAGTCGAAAACAGCTACAGTGGAATGTAATTTTCCCGTTTATTAACACCATTAATGAAGACACCGTTAATTAATACACCATTAATTAAGACTCCATTAATTAAGGCACCAATAAGTAAGATACTATTAAAAAATAAAAATAAACATTTCTTTCAAGCCATTTCCTTTTTAAAGGTTCAAGGGACGAAACCCCCATTTGATCTTATTTGATCCTATTTGATCCTACTTTGGGCAGCGAGCCGTGTGCTAGGAACAAGAGTTCAGATGACAGTTTGGTTTTCAAAAACTAAAGAAAATACTAAAAACAGATACCAAAGAAAAAGTCAGTTTGGAAAATTGAAGTCAATAAAAATTTCCAAGAGAAAATGCGAGCATTTAAATATGAATGCAACGCATGCGCACATGAAATGGGTCTATGAAATGTATTATGAAAGGTACTATGAAAGGTACTATGAAAGTACTATGAAAGGTACCATGAAAGGTACTATGAAAGGTACTATGAAAGGTACTATTAAAGGTACTATACGAGGTATTATGAAAGGTACTATGAAAGGTACCATGAAAGGTACTATGAAAGGTACTATGAAAGGTATTATGAAAGGTACTATGAAAGGTACTATGAAAGGTACCATGAAAGGTACTATGAAAGGTACCATGAAAGGTACTATGCAAGGTACTATGAAAGGTACTATGAAAGGTACTATGAAAGGTACTATGAAAGGTACTATGAAAGGTACCATTAAAGGTACTATGAAAGGTACTATGAAAGGTACTATGAAAGGTAATATGAAAGGTACTATGAAAGGTACTATGAAAGGTACTATGAAAGGTACTATGAAAGGTACTATGAAAGGAACTATGAAAGGTACTATGAAAGGTACTATGAAAGGTATTATGAAAGGTACAATGAAAGGTACTATGAAAGGTACTATGAACGGTACCATGAAAGGTACTATGAAAGGTACTATGAAAGGTATTATGAAAGGTACTATGAAAGGTACTATGAAAGGTACCATGAAAGGTACTATGAAAGGAACTATGAAAGTTACTATGAAAGGTACTATGAAAGGTACCATTAAAGGTATTATGAAAGGAACTATGAAAGTTACTATGAAAGGTACAATGAAAGGTACTATGAAAGGTACTATAAAAGGTACTATGAAAGGTACTATGAAAGGTACTATGAAAGGTATTATGAAAGGTACTATGAAAGGAACTATGAAAGTTACTATGAAAGGTACAATGAAAGGTACTATGAAAGGTACTATGAAAGGAACTATGAAAGTTACTATGAAAGGTACAATGAAAGGTACTATGAAAGGTACTATAAAAGGTACTATGAAAGGTACTATGAAAGGTACTATGAAAGGTATTATGAAAGGTACTATAAAAGGTACTATGAAAGGTACTATGAAAGGTACTATGAAAGGTATTATGAAAGGTACTATGAAAGGAACTATGAAAGTTACTATGAAAGGTACAATGAAAGGTACTATGAAAGGTACTATGAAAGGAACTATGAAAGTTACTATGAAAGGTACAATGAAAGGTACTATGAAAGGTACAATAAAAGGTACTATGAAAGGTACTATGAAAGGTACTATGAAAGGTACTATGAAAGGAACTATGAAAGTTACTATGAAAGGTACAATGAAAGGTACTATGAAAGGTACTATAAAAGGTACTATGAAAGGTACTATGAAAGGTACTATGAAAGGTATTATGAAAGGTACTATAAAAGGTATTATGAAAGGTACTATGAAAGGTACTATGAAAGGTACTATGAAAGGTACTATGAAAGGTACTATAAAAGGTATTATGAAAGGTACTATGAAAGGTACCATTAAAGGTACTATGAAAGGTACTATGAAAGGTACTATAAAAGGTATTATGAAAGGTACTATGAAAGGTACCATTAAAGGTACTATGAAAGGTACTATGAAAGGTACTATAAAAGGTATTATGAAAGGTACTATGAAAGGTACTATGAAAGGTACCATTAAAGGTACTATGAAAGGTACTATGAAAGGTATTATGAAAGGTATTATGAAAGGTACTATGAAAGGTACTATGAAAGGTACTATAAAAGGTATTATGAAAGGTACTATGAAAGGTACCATTAAAGGTACTATGAAAGGTACCATTAAAGGTACTATGAAAGGTACCATTAAAGGTACTATGAAAGGTACCATTAAAGGTACTATGAAAGGTACCATTAAAGGTACTATGAAAGGTACTATGAAAGGTATTATGAAAGGTATTATGAAAGGTACTATGAAAGGTACTATGAAAGGTACTATAAAAGGTATTATGAAAGGTACTATGAAAGGTACCATTAAAGGTACTATGAAAGGTACCATTAAAGGTACTATGAAAGGTACTAAGGTATTATGAAAGGTACTATGAAAGGTACTATGAAAGGTACTATAAAAGGTATTATGAAAGGTACTATGAAAGGTACCATTAAAGGTACTATGAAAGGTACCATTAAAGGTACTATGAAAGGTACTATAAAAGGTATTATGAAAGGTACTATGAAAGGTACCATTAAAGGTACTATGAAAGGTACCATTAAAGGTACTATGAAAGGTACCATTAAAGGTACTATGAAAGGTACCATTAAAGGTACTATGAAAGGTACCATTAAAGGTACTATGAAAGGTACTATAAAAGGTATTATGAAAGGTACTATGAAAGGTACCATTAAAGGTACTATGAAAGGTACCATTAAAGGTACTATGAAAGGTACCATTAAAGGTACTATGAAAGGTACCATAAAAGGTACTATGAAAGGTACTATGAAAGGTACTATAAAAGGTATTATGAAAGGTACTATGAAAGGTACCATTAAAGGTACTATGAAAGGTACTATGAAAGGTACTATAAAAGGTATTATGAAAGGTACTATGAAAGGTACCATGAAAGGTACTATGAAAGGTATTATGAAAGGTACTATAAAAGGTATTATGAAAGGTACTATGAAAGGTACCATGAAAGGTACTATGAAAGGTACTATGAAAGGTACTATTAAAGGTACTATACGAGGTATTATGAAAGGTACTATGAAAGGTACCATGAAAGGTACTATGAAAGATACTATGAAAGGTACTATGAAAGGTACTATGAAAGGAACAATTAAAGGTACTATACGAGGTATTATGAAAAGTACTATGAAAGGTACCATGAAAGGTTCTTCGAAAGGTACTATGAAAGGTACTATGAAAGGTACTATGAAAGTACTATGAAAGGTACCATGAAAGGTACTATGAAAGGTACTATGAAAGGTACTATGAAAGGTACTATGAAAGGTACCATGAAAGGTACTATGAAAGGTACTATGAAAGGTACTATTAAAGGTACTATTAAAGGTACTATACGAGGTATTATGAAAGGTACTATGAAAGGTACCATGAAAGGTACTATGAAAGGTACTATGAAAGGTACTATGAAAGGTACTATGAAAGGTACTATGAAAGGTACCATAAAAGGTATTATGAAAGGAACTATGAAAGGTATTATGAAAGGTACTATGAAAGGTATTATGAAAGGTACTATGAAAGGTATTATGAAAGGTACAATGAAAGGTACAATGAAAGGTACTATGAAAGGTACTATGAAAGGTACTATGAAAGGTACTATGAAAGGTACCATAAAAGGTATTATGAAAGGTACTATGAAAGGTACTATGAAAGGTATTATGAAAGGTACTATGAAAGGTACTATGAAAGGTACTATGAAAGGTACTATGAAAGGTACTATGAAAGGTACCATAAAAGGTATTATGAAAGGAACTATGAAAGGTACTATGAAAGGTACTATGAAAGGTACTATGAAAGGTATTATGAAAGGTACAATGAAAGGTACTATGAAAGGAACTATGAAAGGTACTATGAAAGGTACTATGAAAGGTACTATGAAAGGTACTATGAAAGGTACTATGAAAGGTACTATGAAAGGTACTATGAAAGGTATTATGAAAGGTACTATGAAAGGTACTATGAAAGGTACCATGAAAGGTACTATGAAAGGAACTATGAAAGTTACTATGAAAGGTACTATGAAAGGTATTATGAAAGGTATTATGAAAGGTACTATGAAAGGAACTATGAAAGTTACTATGAAAGGTACTATGAAAGGTACTATGAAAGGTACTATGAAAGGTATTATGAAAGGTACTATGAAAGGTACTATGAAAGGTATTATGAAAGGTACAATGAAAGGTACTATGAAAGGTACCATGAAAGGTACTATGAAAGGTATTATGAAAGGTACTATGAAAGTTACTATGAAAGGTACTATGAAAGGTACTATGAAAGGTACTATGAAAGGTATTATGAAAGGTACTATGAAAGGTACTATGAAAGGTATTATGAAAGGTATTATGAAAGGAACTATGAAAGGTACTATGAAAGGTATTATGAAAGGTACAATGAAAGGTACTATGAAAGGAACTATGAAAGTTACTATGAAAGGTACTATGAAAGGTACTATGAAAGGTACTATGAAAGGTATTATGAAAGGTACTATGAAAGGTACTATGAAAGGTATTATGAAAGGTACTATGAAAGGTACTATGAAAGGTACTATGAAAGGTACTATGAAAGGTACTATGAAAGGTACTATGAAAGGTACTATGAAAGGTACTATGAAAGGTACTATGAAAGGTACTATGAAAGGTACTATGAAAGGTACTATGAAAGGTACTATGAAAGGTACTATGAAAGGTACTATGAAAGGTACTATGAAAGGTACTATGAAAGGTACTATGAAAGGTACTATGAAAGGTAC